GGGTGCCTTGAGCTTAATTTAAAACTAGGATAGGAAGGAAAGATAGCATTTAAGTATTGTAACCAGTTGAAATTCAAACCTCATTCAGGCTTCTGCTGGCTTAGTCCACATTCCTAGGGCCACCTTTCTTGGTTTTAATGCCATAAAGTCCAGAAGAGTTTGGAAGGTGATTCTCTGATGGGGGTGCAGGTGGGTCCTCAGGTCTGTATGGCCATCTGTCCTCCACTCCACATGGTCATCTTCTAGGTTGCAATCAAAGTAGTCACCAGTGAGTCCCTCTGCCACTGCACACATGCTAGTCATTATGTGTTGTGGTACTGTACTGAGGATGTCATTTTTTGAGACTCTTTCTACACAGGTTGAGACGAGTCCTCTGGAAGATGACTGGATCCCATGACTTGGGCTAGAAAGGGTGAGGTGGTTGCTTGTGTCAGTCAGTGCAGTCTTGCTCGTCATATTGGAGAGGCTGGCCACTCAGATCAAAACCTAGAAGCCTGTCTTGCTACTCAATTCTTTATCTTTTGCCACACCTAGCACAGTGTGCTATGCTTAATAGAATGCTTTGTTTGTGGAATGATTTTCTAAACAGCTTTCTTGAATATAATTCACATACTATTCAGTTCTCCCATTTAGAGTGTATAGTTCATTGGTTTTTAAAATATATTCCGAGTTTTGCCACCATCACCATAGTCTGATTTTAGAAAACTTTCATCACCACAAAAAGGATTTCTGTATCCATAGCAAGCATACCCTTTGGCCCAGTTCTCCACCCTAGCTCTAGGCAACCTCGAATCTACTTTCTGTCTAGATATTTGTTTGTTCTGGACATTTCATATAAATGGAGTCATGCAATATGCGATCTTTTGTGACTGGCTTCTTTTGCTTAGCATAATGCTTTCAAGAGCTATCCATGTTGTAGCATGGATCAGTACTTTATTCCTTTCTATTAACATAATATTTCATTGCATGGATATAGTATATTCATTGGTTTATGAATATGTGGGTTGTTTTCACTGTTTGGCTCTTATGAATAATGCTGCTACAAACATTTGTTTACCAGGTTTTGTGTGGACTAGGTTTTCATTTCTCTTGGGTATATGCCCAGGAGTGGAATTGCTGGGTCACATGGCAACTCTATGTTAAACCTTTTGAGGAATTGCCAGAATGTTTTCCAGAATGGCTGCATCATTTTACATTCCCACCAGCAGTGTATGAGGTTTCTGATTTCTTCATATTCTCACCAACACTTGGTATTGTCTGTCTTTGTTATAGCCATCCTAGTAAGTGTGAACTGGTATCTTATTGTGGCTTTGATCGGTATTTCGCTAATAAGATATTGAGTACCTTTTATGTGTTTATTGTCCATTTGTATATCTTTTTTGGGGAAATGTCTATTTCCGTTCTTTGCCTCATTTTTTAAATTGGGTTGTCTCTTTGTTGTTGAGTTGCAAGTGATTTTTATATATTCATGCTACAAGTCATGTATCACAGGAGTCCCCAAGCACCCAGCCACAGACCAGTACTGGTCTGTAGCGCATTAGGAACCAGGCTGCACAGCAGGAGGTGAGTGGTTGGCAAGCAAAGTTTCATTTGTATTTACAGCCACTCCCCATAGCTCGTATTACAGCCTGAGCTCTGCCTCCTGTCAAATCAGCAGTGGCATTAGATTCTCATAGGAGCACAAACCCTTATTGTGACTGCATGCGTGAGGGACCTAGGTTACACACTCCTTATGAGAATCTAATACCTGATGATCTGTCAGTGTCTCCCATCACCCCAGATGGGACCATCTAGTTGCAGGAAAACAAGCTCAGGGTTCCTGCTGATTCTGCATTGTGGTGAGTTGTATAATTATTTCATTACATATTCCAATGTAATAATAATAGAAATAAAGTGCATAGTAAATGTAAAGTGTTTGAATCATTCTGAAACCATTCCCCTGACCCTGGTCTATGGAAAAATTGTCTTCCATCAAACTCATGTCTGGTGCCAAAAAAGGGTGGGGACCACTGGTGTATCAGATACATGATTTGAAAATACTTTCTCCCATTCTGCGGGTTGCCCTTCCACTTTCTTGATGGTTTGAAGTGTAAAAACTTAAAATTTTGATGAAGTTGAATTTATTTTTAATTTGGTTCCTTGAGCTTTTGGCATTGTAGTTAAGATAACACTGCCTAATCCAAAGATCACAAATATTTGTTGCTGTTTTCTTCTGAGAGTTTTATAGTTTTAGCTCTTACATTTAAGTCTTCAATGCATTTTTAGTTAAATTCTGTATGTTGCAAGGTAGTGGTCCAGCTTTATTCTTTTCCCTGTAGATAACCATTTGTCCCAGCACCTGTAATTAAAAGACTCTTCTTTTCCTCATTGAATTGTTTTGGCACCCTTGTCAAAAATCAAGTGACTGTAAATGTGCAAGTGAATTCTGTTTCATTGATCGGTATGTCTGTCTTTATGCCAGTATCGCACTGTCTTTATTACTTTATCTTCCAGTAAGTTTTAAAATTTAAAACTGTGATTCTTCCAACTTTGTTCACTTTTTCAAGATTGTTTTGGGTATTCTGGATCCCTAGATATTACATATTAATTAAAGGACCAGTTCATGAATTTCTGCAGAGAAGCCATGCAGGATCTTCATAAGGATGACATTGAATCTGTAGATGAATTTGAGGAGCGCTGCCATCTTAAAAAGTGTTTTGGTCTATTATCTCAGGATGTCCTTCCATTTATTAAGATCTTCTTTAATTTCTTTCAATAATGTTTTTCTGTTTACCAAGTATGAATTTTATACTTGTTAAATTTATTCCTAAGTAGTATTATGCCATTATAGTGGGATAGTTTTCTTAATTTATTTTTCAGATTGTTCATTGCAAATATATAGAAATATAATTGAGTTTTATATATTGAAGTTGGACCCTGCAATCTGAACTCATTTATTAGTTCTGGTAGTTTTTAAATGAATTTCTTAGGATTTTCTATATACAAGATTGTGTCATCTGCAGACAGAGGTAGTTTTACTTCTTCCTTTTCATTCTAGATGCTTTGGTACAATGCTGAATAGAAGTGGCAAGAGCAGACACCCTTGTCTTCCTGATCTTAGGGGAAACGCATTCAGTCTTTCACCATAAAGTGCAGCATTAGCTATAGATTTTTTATCAGGTTGAGGATGTTTACTTCTATTTATAGTTTGAGTGTTTTTATCATAACCAATTTTCTAGTATTTAGTTGAAAAATTTTGAATCTATATTCATAAGGGATACTGGGCTGTGGTTTTGGAATTTTTTGTGATGTGTTTGGTTTTGGTATCAGAGTAATACTGGCCTCATAGAATGGAATTGGGAAGTGTTCCCTCTTCTAATTTTTGGAAGAATTTGTAAAGAGTAGATACTATTTAAATTTTTGGTAAGTGGTGGAATGATTTTGAAGTGTGTATTTCCATTTCATGCCCAGTAAGAGTAATGTAGAGGCCGGGCGCGGTGACTCAAGCCTGTAATCCCAGCACTTTGGGAGGCTGAGGCGGGTGGATCACAAGGTCAAGAGATCGAGACCATCCTGGTCAACATGGTGAAACCCCGTCTCTACTAAAAAATATACAAAAAATTAGCTGGGCATGGTGGCACGTGCCTGTAATCCCAGCTACTCAGGAGGCTGAGGCAGGAGAATTGCCTGAACCCAGGAGGCGGAGGTTGCGGTGAGCCGAGTTCGCGCCATTGCACTCCAGCCTGGGTAACAAGCATGAAACTCCATCTCAAAAAAAAAAGAGTAATGTAGAACCATCTACATTTATCAGTCAGCTGCCCTATGCAGTGCCTGCTGCTTGGTGCTTCACATGCGTCATCTCATTGAATACTGAAAAACCCTGTGAAGTGGGTTTCCATTTTATAGAGGAAGAAACCAGTCTATAGAGCCCAGGTTGTGTGTGGCTATGAAACGTGTTGTCTTTGCCATATACCATACTTAGGATGTGATCACAGAGATCATTCTGTGGGGAATGGTGATGGATCAGCCAACCTTGGGGAACGGAGATCTCAAGTCTGTAAGCCTGAATTTTGAGGGGGCACTGGCATGTGTTATTCGTTCTCTCCCTGCCTGTTTTTGCCTTGCTTAGCTCTGTCCTCATCTATGTCAAGAAGGCAGGGATGTGATATTAGTAGGGAAAATTACCTGATGGCCTCCTGCAGAAGGAATCTCCAGGGGTTCCAAATACAAAGGTGAATCAATTGCAGTTTAGCCCCCATGTTATAAAAGACCCTTCCCCCCTCCTCTATACCAACTAATGATTTCAAATTCTCTTAGAACACAGTTGAATTTTTACTTTTTAAAAATCCATACAAATTATTGCTCCAGTAATAAATAGCAAAACTTTTTTTTAAATCTTACTTTGCACTTTTAATTCTTATTTGTCTTTGAGTAGACCACAATTTTTCGTTAATTAGCATTTTTTCCTTTCTGCCTTTTTTTCTGATCATAGTCACCTTATTACGGTTTTCTTTGTCAGCGTCATCAGAAGTCCAACGCTAGATTGGACAGTTGAATGTCAATAGCAAGTCATCACGTCTTTCTCAGAATTTGAACTATCCTGGTCCAATAAGACAGGTAAAGCAAGTGGGATGAAGACCAGAGATAATTTGTTCATGGTGAGCTTTGGCCTTCCTAAGACTCAGATTCGAGAGCTCAGATTTTAGCACAACAGGCAAACAAATACAAAAACATGAAAGCCTGTTACTTTAGTAAGTTCGTCAACAAGGCATGTGAGCTTGGGATAGACTTTTCATGATGCTTTTACGGACATTAGGTGACCAAAAATAGTACAGCGCTCATCTGTCTTGTCTTAGTGGGATTTTTCTTTCAGTACACAATTTTTCCTTGAAAACAAAAGAAGCTTTGACCAAATCAGTTTTCTCCTTTACACCTATCCAGTTAAAATCCAAATCCCACAAGAGGAGCCTCTCCTCTTTCCAGCATCATGAGGTGTTTTTTCCCCTGCTGCTCTCTTCCAGCGAGTTGCAGACCTGGAGCAAGAAAACGCTCTCTTGAAAGATGAGAAAGAACAGCTCAACAGCCAAATCCTATGCCAGTCTAAAGGTAAGTACCAAAGCCTGAGTTTTATTCGAGGTTTTAATCTCTTTTCCTCACTGATTTCCCCCAAAGACTCCTGGCAAGCATGCATTTAGACTAGAGGCTACAGAGGGGAATGGATTTTAATAGAGGGAGATGAAAAAAGAATAATGACCTTTAAGATCCTACTAAGACCTTTGGCCTCAAGAGTCTAAAGAGGTGAGATGTGTGTAATGAACAATGTGGTACATGGGACTTGGAGTCAGGGAGGCCTGCACTTGTTGCCTGACTCTGCCATGTGCTTCTGTGTGGCCTTGAGTAGGTCTTCAGTTTGTTCATCTGCTACATGGATGTAAAGGTTTAGACATCAGGGGGCTGATCGGAGGAAGGAGGAAGAGGCTGCACGTGAAGTGCTTAGGAGGGTGCATGACAACGCAGTGAGTGCTCAGGAGCTGCCATCATCACTGGGTTTCACACATGTCTTTCATATCCACCCACCCGTCATGGTTCCTTCTACCCAGTGGGTCATCTGTTAATGTTTGCTAAAGAGAGGATCTTGAATCAGATCCCAGGTCAGCCCACCAGCTCCTGGGCTGCCATCAGTCCTCATGTGCCACTCAGCTGTGGAGGAGCAAAGAGAGTCCACAGACCCCAGTTTGTGCTGTGACTCAAGAGTGACCTTGAGTAAATCCCCTTCTCCCATCCTCAGGTTCCTCAATCATGTCACTAGAGAATGGAACCACATGACCTCACAGCCCCACCCAATGTCACATCTTTTTGAAAACATAAAGTGTTTTTAAATCTCCTTTTAAAACACTTTTCTGTCCATTAATGTGAGTGATAAGTTTTGGCAGAGGAGCAGCCCATCCTTGTCTGTTTGCCATTCCTCCTTTCAGCCCAGTCTCCTTTAATCTCCCTGCACTCCAAAGACCTGAAAGATCAGGACTAGGAAAAGAAGTGTGGAATAAGCCTTGGTTCTTCCAGGAATGCTGCCAGCAGTTGCTGTGACAGTTGGCAGAAGAGAGGCTGGGGAATGAACTGAGGGAATTCTCACCTACGCTGCCAACTTCTCTCTCCCCATTCCCTGAGAGCAGGATCTTTCTCTCCCTGTCTGAAGACTAAGCCAGAGCAATGAGCCTCACCTTTGCTCTGCAGTAGGTGAGGAGCGTAATAGATTCATCAAGAGCCTCTGATGAGCTTGTCAGGGGCAGTCTCCTAACAAGAGATTAATCAGAAAGCTTGAGTCAAGACGTGTGAGGCAGTCCATCCAGAAAAACTGCAGTTTAGCGTGTTGCTTTCCAGATGAATTTGCCCAGAACTCTGTAAAGGAAAACCTCCTGATGAAGAAAGAGCTGGAGGAGGAGCGATCCCGGTACCAGAACCTTGTGAAGGAATATTCACAGTTGGAGCAGAGATACGACAACCTTCGGGACGAGATGAGCATCATAAAGGCAAGCGGGGTGCTTCTGCTGTGCCGTGGCATGGGTCCCCTGGCTCCTGTCTGGCTTTCGACCCCCCGATCTCAGGCACTGCCTTCTGATATGGGATGTTTGGTCCATGTGTTGTATGCGCAGTGCTTGCCATTACTGCAGAGAGGCAAAAGTAGCTGGGCTGGGTGATCCATCTCTGCGGACAGCTCCTTTTCCAACTTCAGGGTCTTGTGAAAATCTCAGTTATGAGTTTAAGGAACATTCCAGCCGAGTGTGTTCTTTCCTGTTTCCTGTGATGGGAAGATTCCTGTGTGGAAACAGTAACGGGGTGTGGGAGTTCTCAGCTTCATTAGCGTGTGTGTGGCAGAGAGACCCACAAGGACCTATAAAATATCATAAAATCGTCTCTATGTATACTGCATCTCATCTGATTAGGAGACACAATCCAGCATTCCTGGACACAATCTGTCTCCTAATCTGATGAGATGCAATATACATAGAGACAATTTTATGGTATTTTAGGATCTGTCATTCTTTTTTACCCCATGTAAACATTTCCTCCAGAAATGAGTATTCAAACAAGACGGAGTAAGTTAATTGCATAGAAGCCAGGAAGAAAAGCCAAATAGGAACATCCATAGAAGTCTAAAATTGTCCTCCCAAGCTCAGTTTTCACACTGAAAGCCAAATCAGATGCAGGAAAAAAATAAAGTATTTTTAAATGAACAGTGTAAATGGTAAACTATTTTTAATATGCTGCTATTTTCATAAAATTTAGGGAGTGCAGGTTGAAGGGAGGGTCTATTCTGGGCAGATGTGGAACATTCTTTTCAAGGGGGAGGTGGGTAATGTGACTGCCTTTATGTATGTCAAAAGCAAGACTGGGAATGAAAGTTTTTTTTTAGGACTTCTCAGAGAAATTGGCCCAAGTGTGAGGAATTTGTATTTCATTAAGCGATGAAAAGTGGACTGCTACAGTAAGAATTGTAGGTGAAATGTTTCATAGGACTAGCTCTATTTAGCCATCATTCTGAGAAGCAATGATGCCTATTCTTGTTGACAAATGAGGCAGAAGGATAACTCTAGAGCCTGCCACCATGAGAAGTAAGTTCTTATGAACATTAGTTTCTAATGAGCTATCACATTTTTCTCATTCAACAGCAAACTCCAGGTCATAGACGGAACCCATCAAACCAAAGTAGCTTAGAATCTGACTCCAATTACCCCTCCATCTCCACATCTGAGATCGGAGACACTGAGGATGCCCTCCAGCAGATGGAGGTGAGTGATACGGGCTCTTGGCTGCTGTCCTCCTCCCGAGGGAACATGTGCTTTCTCTGCGGAGCTGCCCAAGAGAGATTTACTCTTCTGCTCGTGGTGACCAGACTGCCCAGGGGCTAATTCTTGAGAGCAGGATCACTTGGATTCCAGTGGGTTTAGAGATAGTTCTCTGGAGTTAATACTTACTGCCCACAGCAATATGTTATTGTTCACCTTACCCCCTATCCAGAAAGGAGAGAGGACCTCTGATTCCTCTTGAAAAACCAGGAAACTGATACAGAGAGGTGAAATAGCTGGTTTAAGAAGGAACAGCTAAGTCATTAAAACAGACACAATTTATCATCCCCACTTAGTATCACAGCGCGTATAGTAATATCTATAAATACACAAGAAAATTGCCCCCCTCACTTAGAAGCTGGATAAAACTCAGAACAACAAATATTTGGAATGAAAGTATGCTGGGTGACTGTATTGTTGGTATAGCCTCTTAGAGCCAGTCGCTAAATGTACCACACAGTGGACTGTGTGGTCTGTGTGTAATTTTGTCAAAGGTACAAAAGATAACCTTTTTCCTTTGGCATTTGAAAAGAAAACCACAGGCACATGTGCATGCGTGCGTACACACACACACACCCCTTATAAAGCCTGTGGAGATAGACATGGAGGAGAGAAAGAAGAAAAACAAATGGGTTTGGAGCATATCTTTGTGCAGGCTCTGCTGGTCGGTGCTAGAGAAGTCCTGCTCGTTTGACAGAGAGCTAGACAATAAGCAGTTAGGGAAGAAACATGATATCACTGCAGGTACTGCTAAGTGCTGTAAAGAAAAATAAAAGACCATGAGTGATGGAGAATGCTGGAGCAGAGGGTGGAGGGAGAGGAGGAGGTCCGATCTCCAGGGCTGAAGTTCTCCTATCTGTTGTGCAGTTCTTCATGGCTTGCTGGCTGCTGGGCGCCCTGAGTAAGCCTTGCATGAGTGCTGGCTTGAGGCGCTTGGTTTAGCATTACAGTCTTCTAATTCTAGCCCTCTGGAGACCTCAGTCAGCCTCAGTTCCAGGCTTATTACCCCAGTGTTTGTGTGCCTGACTATCTACATGTAGACATGAGCATTATCATCACTGGGTTTATGTTCTTCAGGGACACCAAGACTGGTCCAGTGCCAGTTAAACATGAAGCACTCATTCAATCCTGGTGGAACCAAATTCTGTTGTCTCACATGTACATACATGTGCTTAAAAATCCACGTGGATGTGCTCATACACATTACCCATCCACAGGCAGATACACATGTTTGTACACCCCCGTCCCCACGCATTAGAGTCCTGGAGGGCAAACTCAGGCATGAATCCAAAAGGAACAAAATCTGGGAAATAGATGCTTTAAGATCTGTTGGGTAAATAGGTTCCACAGCAGAGCAAGCACTTATTCCCTTTCAAGGTGCAATCAGGTGTTGGTTACCACGCTGATTCTTTACCAGGAAGCGTTATGTCCCAAGTTTTTTTTTTTTTGAGACGGAGTTTCGCTCTTGTTACCCAGGCTGGAGTGCAGTGGCGCAATCTCGGCTCACCGCAACCTCCGCCCCCTGGGTTCAGGCAATTCTCCTGCCTCAGCCTCCTGAGTAGCTGGGATTACAGGCACGTGCCACCATGCCCAGCTAATTTTTTGTAATTTTTAGTAGAGACGGGGTTTCACCATGTTGACCAGGATGGTCTCGATCTGTTGACCTCGTGATCCACCCGCCTCGGCCTCCCAAAGTGCTGGGATTACAGGCTTGAGCCACCGCGCCTATGTCCCAAGTTTTATAGTTTCTCTGCTGTGAGACCATTTTCCAAAAGTGAGCTCTTTTAACTCCCAAAGAAAGTGCCTGCGTTTTCATCCATTTGTTCTTGGAATATGTGATTGGTCATTTTAAGTGGCTCACACAGGAGGAATATAAATGGCTAAGATGTTGTCTGGACAGAAAATGAGCCTGGAACACCAACTCTGATATGAGAAATGCTAGTTGGTTGTCATTGGCTTTGTATTTGAGATGCAAATTGATGTTTTGGAGGAGAGGGGAGACAGATGGCTGATCGAGAGGGAGGCAGTGAGGTGCTGTATGTTCCCTTAAGGCGTGTATTTAGGGAAACCTTTTTTCTGCGCCTGTCTTCCTTTGAAGGAAATCGGCCTGGAGAAGGCAGCCATGGACATGACGGTCTTCCTGAAGCTGCAGAAGAGAGTACGGGAGCTGGAACAGGAGAGGAAGAAGCTGCAAGTGCAGCTGGAGAAGAGAGAACAGCAGGACAGCAAGAAAGTCCAGGTAGGTGGGGGGCCGCAGTGCTCTCACGGTGCTGGGATGAGAGAACAATCCAGCTTATGCCCCCAGGGCTCACGTGGCAGGTGTAACCACATGGGATCATGCTCCTGCCAAGTCTCAGAGGGCTCCTTATTATTGCATTGGAGTCAGGCTGAGTCTTCTCTGAGCGCCCCTACCTCACCCAGCTGAACGGGAGTAAGCTCCCTTGTGCCCCGGGTTTCCTCTGGTGAAGCTGGGGGGAAGTCTGTGGCATCCTCACCTACTTGCAAGGAGGGGAGCTCCCTGCCAGGAGGACCAGGGTGTGTAATAAGAGTATAAATACAGCAGACATCAAATGTTTGTGGAGATAACCTATTGCCCTTCCATACCTGGGATCTGGCTGGGGCTTGGGTTCAGTCTTTATGGGTCAGAGGCAGACGGAGTGTGTGTCACTCACCCTCCTCTCCCGTGGCTACGCGCTTGCCTCAGTCTGGATTATCAGCAGCCTCTTGGGTCTAGAAAAGATGTCGTTTGAAATCTTAGTAGCCCCAAAAACAGGCCGGGTGTGGTGGCTTACACCTGTAATCCCAGCACTTTGGGAGGCTGAAGCAGGCGGATCATGAGGTCAGGAGTTCGAGACCAGCCTGACCAACATGGTGAAACCCTGTCCCTACTACAAATACAAAAATTAGCTGGGTGTGGTGCCGTGCGCCTGTAATCCCAGCTACTCAGGAGGCAGAGGCAAGAGAATCACCTTGAACCTGGGAGGCAGAGGTTGCAGTGAGCCAAGATTGTGCCACTGCACTCCAGCCTGGGTGACAGAGCGAGACTCCGTCTCAAAAAAAAAAAAAAAAAAAAAAAAGGAAAAAGCCCCAAAAGCAATCGTTCCATCCAAAGGACCTAGTGGGCACCTATGCTGCACTCAGAACTATGTCAGAGCCAGGCATGTAGTCGCTATACAAAATGTTCATTAATGTAAGAGAAATCCGCGGCCATTAAGGAAGTTAAAATCTAGTTTGGGGGAACCAGATGTAACATCGGTGAAAAGTGAAAAATAGCATTGGTAGCACTTAAGTAAATGCAAAGTTGAGTGCGAACAGGTCGGTGCTATACGAGTAGAGAACCCATTGAATATAGCAGTGCTGAGAAGGAAAGAACCATTTATTTCTTTGAAGATAGAAGGACCACTTCTAAAGGGCACAAGGCCGGTTCTGCCGTGGGTTATGTCATCAGCTGACCTCATAGTGGGCTTGAAAAAGGCCTTTTGTATGTTCTCAGGCCAAATTATTAATTGTGGAGTTTGACACCTACCCCATGTTCTCAGTCCCCAACCCTTCCCCCACCTCTGTGCCCAGTCATTTTTTGCAACACCTGTGTTCCCTTTGCAATCAAGTGTGATACAGATTCTGATCTATATTGCTAGCAAATTCTTATGTGTGCCGTGTGTGTGTGTATTTTTCCCCCGAGCAGTAAGCAGGGAGGTAAATCTTGCTGATGGGTTTAAATCTCTCAGGTGGATTTGATTCAGAATGGAAAGTAAAAAGATTAGGTTTCTAAATGCCTCCTTCAATTAGAAGGAAAGCTGCCTGATAGGCAAGTGTAAATCAAACATCTGAAAAGCTGCACAGATGACATCAGCCAGTGCCTGAAATACAAGCTCTTGGCCTATCCAGCTGTACCTAAAGATTCATTCTCCAGGCTCCCCATTGCAGACATGCCAATGAATTTTGGAATCTTGGCTTTAGAACTTCTCTTGTTTCCAAATAAAAAAGGGTATCTTTTTTCCTCCAAAATAATCACTGAACAACAGTTAGAACTCTAGGCTTGGGCCGTAGCTCTGTTGTGTATATTAAGGATCTCTCTTTAGGGAGAATGGCCTTGTTTCTAACAGTTTAAGGAAGGAAAGGCAGGAGTGGGTTGGGGGAGGGTGTGAGATCCCTCTACAGCACCCTGAAATGGAGCTTTCGAAGGTCAAGTTCTTGGATTCGCTGTTGGTCCAAAAAGGGATCCTGAGCTACCTGGGTCTTCATTCTGTGGAGAGATGGCTCAGGTCTCAGCCACAGAGAGAGGCCACATACTGAGTGAAGAATGGCAGGGAAGCCCATGGAATGTATGGGAGTGACTGAGCTGCCGTGAGGGTGGGGCCTCGATGACCGTCCATGGTCCGTGCATTTGACCTCCCACCCAGCCACCTCCTTATCTCAAGCCAGGCAAAGTCACCTTGGCCAATAGGGTGATTCCTATGGGCTGCCCACTTAAAAACATGACTGTCAGCCCATCTTAATAGAGTCCTTTGAGTTTGAGTAGGTGATCTCCACTTCTGAGAATCCAACGCGCTCAGCATTATCCATGGACATATGGCAAATCCATGCTACATAGAACACAAGTGCAGATCTCTCACTGGAGCAGTGGGTTGAATCCAGACCCTAGACAGCCACAGCCTCCTGTACCACTGGTGTTGGTGGAGGCAAAACAGACCCTGGTACTTTGGAGATGTTTTATCCCCAGGTGGCGGGGCTGGAAACAGTGCAATAAGTGTCAGCATCCTTCAACTGGGAGGAGTACAGGAGATGCTCAGATCCTGTTCCTGTCTCCAAGTCTGAGGCACGCTAGTCCATCCACAGTGGGAGGACTCAATGTTTCTGGCTAGCACTGTAGGTAATCTCATTAAGTGCTCTGTTCATTTTTACCCCCCAAAATCCATCTTATTCAGGGACCATCACCCACTACTTGAAATTACTCCAAGTAGTTAATCATTTATGAAGCTGTTTCTACCCCTTCTCACTGGCAATCCAAGTCTAATGTCAGCTGAATAACTGTAGGAATCATGGGCTCAGCTGAACCCTAGTGAGCCGTTACTCCAGACATTGCCATAGACAGGCACTAGCTTTGAAGTTCTGATGTCAGAGCGTGTTAGGTGTTGTGGGCCAGCTCTCCTGCTACCTGCGGTAGTGTCATGGAGGAAGCAGCTCTGCGAGGTGCTTAGAGTTTAGTTGGGAAACGTACACACTGGGAGCTCTTCTTCCTCATAAACTGAAACAGAGACGCAGTTATACAGTGTGTGTTAGCTTCCTAGGGCTGCTGAAACAAAACACCACAACCTGGATGACAAAACAACAGTTTATTGTCTCCGAGTTCTGGAGGCCAAAAGTCAGAAATCCAGGTGTTGACAGGTTGTGTTCTCTTGAAGGCTCTGGGGGAGGATTTGCTTCATGGCTTTCTCTCAGCTTCCCATGTTTCTGGCCATCCTGGTGTTCCCTGCCTGGCAGCTGCGTGGCTCCAGCCTCACCTCTGCCTTCACATGGCCCTCTTCCCTGCATCTTCTTTCTGCTGGATTAGCACTCACCCTAATGACCCCAGCTTAACTTGATTACATCTGCAAACACCCTATTTGCAAATAACATCATATTCCCAGTTTCTGGGGTAAAGACTTCAGCATATCTCTTGGGGGGCACAGTTCAAGCCATAACACAGTACTGTATGTATTCAACCTACAAGTGCCTGTAGGGACCATGCAAGTGAAGGTGGGGGTGGGAACAGGAGGGAGGTGTTAATGGAGAACTTCATGCTAGGCTGGAGTACTGAGCTGCACTTTGAAGGTGGGAAGGCAGTGAATTTGTGGAGGGTCGGGTGTTGGATATTCACTCATAGGTAGAATGAGCAGGTTCGACCTCAGTCAGAAACACCTCTGTGGAATATCTCTCTATCTGTGCAGGTGCTTGAGGTCCACGCTTATCTTTGTCTCTCTACCTGTGCAGGTGGAACCGCCACAGACTGACATAGATGTGGACCCGGATGCAGATCTGGCCTACAACAGTCTGAAGGTAAGACTCTTGAGGGACAAGCTTTCTGGAATTCTCACCTGGCGGAGGGCAGATGACAAAGCTGGGCATCAGGAAGTTGGGCCCTGAGCCCCAGTCTGCTAACAAGTAGAGCCAGAAGCAGGTAGCTTCCCCTTTCCACGCTGTAGTTTATTCACCTTTGGAATGAAGGAAAGTTTGTATCTGCTATAGGAATGAGAATAAATATATTAGCTACTCAACACAATTTCACTAAAAATCAAGGCTTGCATGGGTAGATGTAGGGCAGAGGGACCTGCCAGTGCATCTGCTGCTGGGGTGGGGAGACAGCGTGGCAGAACAGTGGGAGGTGAGCAGGCCCCTGTGGCAGGGAGAGCAGTACATGGAAAAGGGGCTTCAGGATAGGCCCAACACATTCCCATCCTCAAAACCAGGATAATGTGGGAATTTATCCTATCCACCAGTCACTTACAGAACTGCAAATAACTCTCGATGCTTGGTCTGAAGGTAGTGAGTTATCTCAATAGATTTTTCAGTCTGTTACAGATCGAACTCCTTGTTCTGTTCCCTCCCCCGTCTTACTGCTGCACTTGACTTGTCAAAAAATAAATAACTCTGGTAACAGCTACATTGTCCAGGAAAACAGCTTTGAATCATTCCTCTGGCTTATTTCCAATTTCTTAAAGTGTAGTAAAATACACAAAAAATTTACCACCGTGATGAACTCTTTTTAAGTGTACAATTCAGTGGTATTAATACATTTGGAATGTTATGTTAGCATCTCACCACCATCTGTTTCCATAATTCTTTTCATCTTTTAAAACTGAAATTCTGTACCCATTAACAACTCCCCATTTCCTCCTCCCCCAAACTCTGGCGACCACGAGTAAACTTCCAGTCTCTCTGCATTAGACGACTCTAGGTTCCTCACATAAGTAGAACCATGTAGTATTTTATTTTGTAACTTACCATCGTGTCCTGAGGTTCATCTGTATCGTAGCATGTATCAGTCTTCTTTTAAGGCTGCTTCCCATTGCGTGTATATGGACCATACTTCGCTTTTCCATTTGTTTGTTGATTGAATGCTGACCCTGGACAGCCACAGCCTCGTGTGCCACGGGTACATTTTTCTACATAATTTCTTTGTAAACATGATTTCCATGGTTGATTAAAATTGTATGGCATGGCCAGAAGCAGTGGCTCACACCTATAATTTGGAGGCCAAGGTGGGTGGATCTCAAGGTCAGGAGATCAAGACCATCCTGACTAGCAAGGTAAAACCCCATCTCTACTAAAAATACAAAAAATTAGCACCTGTAGTCCCAGCTACTCAGGAGGCTGAGGCAGGAGAATGGCCTGAACCCAGGAGGTGGAGGTTGCAGTGAGTTGAGATCATGCCACTGCACTCCAGTCTGGGTGACAGAGTAAGACTCCATCTCTATGATTATCACAATTATCCATTCTCTAATTGATGAATATATTCTCATGTTTTACTATTATAAATAATCCTCTGATGAAACGAGGCTTTTTTTGAGAGAGAGACCTGGACTGTCCATAAGTATTTTATTAAAATTCCTCAGAATTTTGAAACAAACCGTATCCATTACTGTTGACTGTGGCTAGATTTGTAAGACAGAGCCATCATCACAACTTTAGCCTCGTTTTATGTAACACGGATCCATTTTACTGCTTTTAAATCTTACAAAGTTACAGAGCGGTGGTATAGCGTTGACTATATATACAATCTCAATGACCCCTTATTCAAAGCTGCACCGCCTCCAGCAGTAACGCTCATCCCATGTGAAATATCTGCTTTGCAGTGGTCATCCTCATACAGTCATCTTTACTGACGTTTAAGAAATAGACACCCAAACTCTCTATAGAAAGGTTTCCTGCCAAGTCCAATGTCCAGCTAACCTAGAAGCTTGCAGTCCTGGGGCTGCAGAGCTACCCAGACCCAGAGACAGGAAATCTAAAGCGTGTGGTGTGCAGTGCCCAGCCTCAGCACACTCTCCCAGGGCAGCTTCACCCTTGCACACATCCTCCCAAAGCTTAATTCTTCACCAACATACTGATCCATCTCTAGACCATTATTCCAACTGCTTGCTACCCTGTAGGGACTGCAGCTGAACACATCTGAACCCTGAAACCCCATCTTGTCTCAATAGATGACACACATGTCACCCAAGCATCTAGACTTTGTTCCCTCTCACCTCCCACAGCCAAGCAGTCTCCAGGTCTTGACAATTCCACCTCCTAAATCTCATTCACATCTCCCTCTGCTCCCTGCCATGGGCCATGCTGTGGTGTATTCCAGCCAGGTGCCCCATCTCCCCATGGAAACCAGGGAAACCCTTCTGAAGCCCTGTGATGACCAGCTTGCTGCTTTTCCTGGATCCAGCTCCCTTCCCTGGGTTTTGGCAGCCCTCCCTCATGATCTGACTCTCAACTGCATCTCTCGAGCACTGCCCACTCTGCTCTGCCTTCTGCAGACTGCATTTCCCCAGCAGGTCCTGCTTGTTCTTCTCTGAGGCCTTTGTACCTGGAAGGCTCTTGCCTGCCTTTTCCACATGGCTAGCTGCTCCTGTCCTTTAGCTGTCAGACATGTTACCTCCCCCGGGTCCTACCCCCCAGACTCAGTGATGGCATTCTGTTTTCCCTGGTGACTCTGGATTCACTCGTGTCATGGTGTGTTTCAGGCTGCAGTGCCATGATCTGTACTTCAGTATAATTGATAGCTCCTAAGCAGGTGTTATGCCTGCAGCATCTACCACACTCCCTGGCCTGAATAAGGCAGATGATGGAGATTGGTGGGAGGGAGGATAATAGAATGGGAATTCTCCAACTGGAATGGCATGGCGTTTGGGTGCATCAAAAATAAGTCTTTCACAAAAATTCATCTGTTTCCAGTTATATGAGGTAGCTAGAAGGGTCAAACTCAGAGACAGAAAGTCGAATGATGGTTGCAGCAGATGAGGAGTGGGAATGGGGAGTTAGTGTTTGATGGGGACAGAGTTTCAGCTGGGAAGGTGCAAGCGTTCTGGAGATGGATGGTGGGGATGGTTGTACAACATAAATGGACTTAATGGCACTGAACTGTGCATGTAAAAATAGGTACAATGGCTAATTTTGTGTCATATATTTTACCACAATAAAGCATGCATGTTCTTTTGGCGCTGTTGACCAGAAAGGATGATGAGGAAATGGTAGTGAGCCTGGAGGGGGAGGAAAGAGGAGTGGAGAGGAGAGGGGGTGGGTGGGACCGGTAGGGTGTGTTTAGGGGAGACAGTGTCCAGGAATGGTTAGAGATAGGATAAATAAAAATGTCACAGATATGCCCTGGGTAGAAATCCTTGAAAAACAACCAGAGCTTTCACCCAGCCTGGCCCTTTTATCTGGAGGCACGATCTCATGGCTGAGTAGGGCCTGGGTGGCTGTCAGCACAGGCACTCAGCTGACAGCTGTCACCAAGCTCGATTCTGGCTGGTCAAGACTGGAGGAAACCTTAACCACCGGCTGTCCTCACTCCCTTAAGCCACACCTGAGGAGGCTAAGGTTCCAGGATTGTGCAGTGTGCACCTTGAGCCAGGATGAGGACCCAGCGTTTCTGTCTCCACACCCAGTGCTCCTCTGGCATGTGACACTGGCTCTCCTGTGGATGGCCTTGGCTGCCAGAATATCACCCAGGCACTGAGGGGATCCTTAACTCCTGAACTTAGTAAATAGACTCACCATAGGCTTGGTGACTCATCAGTAATCACTGAGTATTAAGCACCTTATCTGGAGCCATCATCATATCTGCAGAATTACTATCTCTGTGCACGGTTCTTAATCTGGAAATCACCACATATATGGTGGAGTCACGGGAGGGGCCCTGGACCAGGAATCGGGATCCCTGGCCCTCTGTACTGGGTCAGTCTCTAAACTCACTGTGAGCCTTCCCCTCCCTGGGCTCAGCTTCCTCACTCAGCAAATAGAGACTCATTCTACCCCGTGGCCTCCTAGTTCCATCATCCTGTGGCTCTATAACAAACATGCAACCAGTGCAGATACTCATCCACATCTTTGGGTTTCCTTTGGGAAGTTCTGAATCTCATGTATGCCAGGGTCCTGCTAGCAGTTTGTGCGTGATTATCAGACTTCATCTCAATCAGAAAGTTAAGTGCACTACCCAGAAAATATAAAGTATGTTCCAAAGTTGAGTCCCAATAGCACGTTTGACTCTGTACGTAGGTAGTTTTTCCTCTGCTGACGTTGACAGTTGGTGGCTTTCTATATGACCAAAACAGTGTGCCTAGTGTATCCTCCAAGTCATTAAACCTCCTGCCTGTCTTACCCCACTGCCCACTGCCCCAGGATAAAAGGGATGCTCCCTGAAAAACGGGGAGCAAGAGGTTCTCTGGGCAAATGCATTTAGGAAATCTGGCATTCTATACCTTTTCTTGGAAAGTCACAATGCATGTGAATATATTCAGACTCTAGGAAGTCCTGTGTTTACTATATGTCTTTTAAAATTGTTAGTCCAGCATTTCCACAAGGAAGATTTTCACAGCCAGACGTGTTTAGAAACACAAACGCTATTGAAGCACTTCAGGGAATGCCACTCTGGAGGCACTGGGCAGGTGCTTCACGCCTGTGACTTGGAGTCATGAGTTCATATCCAGGCCCCAGCTTTGACTCCTTGCTGATGGCAGTCAGAACTTTCCATGTGTTTCAACCTTAAAGAAAGAAGCTTCCCAGTGGACATAAGAAGGGGAGGAGGGGAGGCCCACACAGGAAGAGGGCCCTGGGCCAGGGAGTAATGGCAGCATCCCTTGGGCTGTCTTCCAGAGGCAAGAGCTGGAGTCAGAGAACAAGAAGCTGAAGAATGACCTGAATGAGCTGAGGAAAGCCATAGCCGATCAGGCCACGCAGAACAATTCCAGCCATGGCTCCCCAGACAGCTACAACCTCCTGCTGAACCAGCTCAAGCTGGCCCATGAGGAGCTCGAGGTGCGCAAGGAGGAGGTGCTCATCCTCAGGACCCAGATCGTGAGCGCAGACCAGCGGCGACTCGCCAGCAGGAATGCGGTAACAAGATGGTGACCCGCGGTGGGGCTGTTAAGGGGTGATCCTAGGTGGTAGATTCATGGTCTTTTAATGTATCTTTACCCACGAAAGAGCAGTCTCTCTTGCTGCAGGGTCTCCTCTAAAGGCAGAGCAAGGGACTTGCTGCCCTGTCAGCATAACCTTCCCTGGGGGATGCAGGTAGAAGCTTCTAGAATCTTCTGAAGTTAATATGAAGACGTTTAATAGGTAACCTCAAGGGTGGCCTTTTCACCTCATACCCCTTGCTGTTTGCTTTCTGAGGTGGAGAGTCAGTGGTTCCTCTCAGCCCCTCCAGGGTGGCAAGTCCTGTTCAGTGTATTTTCCTAATATTCTCACTTTCTGGGACAGACTAGAGCCATAGAGTGGGGACAGAGGCCACCTGGGTCACTCGGGCTCTAAAAGTCTGGGCCACTTCCAGGCATAGGCCTCAAGATGGGTGGGATAAGCAGGTGCTGACAAGTGTGGAGGATTCCAGCAGAGCCAGGATTCACCCGTGTGCATTAGACTTGGGTGCTTCCTCCTCCCAGGGGCACCTCCTGGCTGTCTTACCCCACTGCCCCGCACTCAGCTCTCTTTCAGCCGGGCCTCGTCATTCTGTGTCTCTTCCAAGGTGACCTTTTGGACTCACATTCCTGGCCAGGATTTGACTGTGGTTCTCTCTGTTCTTCCCAGGCCTTTGTCTTTTCCCAAAGGCATGTTTTTATACCTGCTTGTATATAACACCATTTTGTGGCAATTGTTTAACCAGAGTTATTTTTTTGGGGGGGTGGGGGGGTGTTTCTAGGAGCCGAACATTAATGCCAGAGCAAGTTGGCCTAATAGTGAAAAGCATGTTGACCAGGAGGATGCCATTGAGGCCTATCATGGGGTCTGCCAGACAAACAGGTAAGGCTGCCGCAGTCAACTGTGCTGGACGAGGCTGCAGACAAGGGCCCTGCCCAGGCGAATCTGTTCGGGGTTTTCCTCAGGTGATGACCATGTGCTCAGCTTCAGGGAATTATTTATTAGAGGACACGGAAATGCTGACTCAGTCCTCTGACCTACTGTTAGCTCAGCAAGGCTCAAGCAGCACACTCACAGCATCTAGAGCCCCTGACCCCTGAGAAGTCTTAGGAAAAGGAGCTTCCCTGGGAGGATGACAGGAGTGGAATGGGAAGGTCTGGCCGAGAACAGCTTTTCTCCTTGAGAGGAAGCTGGCTAGGGGGCGGTGAGCGGAGGAGGGGGGCTAGCTGACAGCAGACGGCTGCTGCAATGCCCTTCTTGTGCATACAGTGTATGTCACCCCGTGAGGGCCACCCTCTGTCATTCAAAACAGATGGAACCCAAGCTAGGCATTTGGGGGTGGAATGGGAGCATTTTACCTCCACTTAGCCAAAATGAGATGTCCCTGGATGTGAGTTTAGCAACCACTGGCTCCTCGGAGATGAGCTGAGCCAGGGTTAAGGCAAGCAGGAGTGATTCCCTGAGGGCAGCCCAGGGAAAAGCATTGTCAGCAGACAGAACACAGACCCCCAAGGCAGAGTGTCTGAGCAGGCGCACTGTGGCGTCCACTCCTCACTGTTTAGTAGTGGTCTCATGACCTCTCAGTGCCTCAGTTGACTCATCTGTGAACTGGAGACAGCTATAGCGGCATGCCTCCTGTGGCTTCGGGGAAGATGGAGTGAGCTCCTGTAGTACGCGTAAGGCACTTAGGACAGTGCCTGCACGTGGTGCGCATGTGATGTGTTACTGCTGTGATCACCATTGTTACTGTCTCTACTTCCTTGTGCCCCTGTGGGCACCTATAAAAACAGAGCTGGCCAGCAGAGCACGGTGGCTCATGCCTGTAATCCAAGCACTTTGGGAGGCCGAGGCGGGCAGATCACTTGAGGCGAGGAGTTAGAGACCAGTCTAGCCAACATGGTGAAACCCTGTCCCTACTAAAATTACAAAAATTAGCTGGGCGTGGTGGCGTGCACCTGTAATCCCAGCTACTTGGGAGTCTGAGGCAGGAGAATCGCTTGAACCCAGGAGGCAGAGGTTGCAGTGAGCCGAGATCACGCCATTGCACTCCAGCCTGGGCGACAAGAACAAAACTCCGTCTCAAACAAACAAATGAAAAAAACAGAGCTGGCCTTTTCCCTGGCTACCTGTCTCTCTTGCGTCAACTAATAGAATGTTGATCATTAAATATTTGCTCAAAATTGGGAAAACAGCAGACATTTCCAAAAAATGTCATTAGGTGGCACTGCGAGTGCAACTTGAAGTTTTTTGCAAGCATGTCATAGAATCACTGAAGACATCTGATGCTTTGACTCTGATCTTTACACCCAGTCCCTCTTTCTTCGGAGGAGAAGACTGAGACTGGAGGGGTGGAACAGCTCAGGCCCTCAGGTGGCCTGTGCCTGAGTCAAGGTAGAATCCAGGTCTGACTCAGGCTGGAGCGGCTTCTGACCGCTGAGTAGCAACTTCTGATCAGAAGTTGAAGGTGTTGTCGAGGCTCCAGGAGGAAATTAAATTTATTTCAAGAGAGGTATAATTCTTTTCCCTAAAGGAGGGAGGAAGGGAGGGAGGGAATGAAGGTGATTCAGTGCTAAAACTGGAGTCAAGATTTAGTCATTTTGAATTATCTTGGGTTGAAGATAAGAAATGAGATGAATAAGAAAAAGCCCGGGTGATATTAAGGTAGAAAGGAGGCAGCAGCCCTGCTCTTGGTCTGAGGAGCGGCATGCCTATCTCCCCATCTTCAGAGCCGTCACCGTTGGCAGCCCCTTGCATTCATCCAGCCGTTGTCAAGGATCCAGACCCCAGTTTAGGTTTTCCCAGGGGCTGCTTCATACCCTGGATTTGTCTTCCTTTACAGCAGTCATAATGATGGTGATCAAATAAAAATAGCTTTTATTATGTCTTAAAATAATTCTGTTCCCAGCAAGCCTGGCATACAATAGGAAATTAATAACCTGTGAAACTGAGTTAAGTACAGAAAAGGAGCCAGCTGCCCTGGGGAGGGGAGGCCTGAAGAGCCAGCTCTGCAGTGCGTGCTGCACCAGGTGCTGTGGAAGTGACCAAGGTGGGCTTACCTCCCTCCCAACCTGGCCTTAGCTTTGGGAAGTGTTCATGATAGCTGCAAATCCCAGCACTGAGGGAGGAGAGCCACCAGGCAGCCTGGCAGGGAACAGGGACCCAACTGGGAATTCCCTGGAGCCCATGGCAAGGGGATCCCATTACCATGAGGGCTGCCCTGGCCACTGCGGTGCTTTGGAGATAGACAGCTGCTCTGCCTTTCCTACAGTTTTCCTATAATGGAGAGTTCTGTTTAAATATAAATTGTTTCTATGCATGTGTGATGTGTGGGGGACCATTTAGAATTCCAATGGCATCTATCCTCACTCTAGAACTAGTTACACTTGTACACTGAATTGTGCTTAGATTCCTGGGGGCTTCCATCACTTTCCCAGTCATAGCCCCTTTAAGCATTCATGATCCTCAAGTTCAGAACTTTTGTCACTTGCTGACCTTCATAGTTTATGGAGTTTTGTTTTGGTCCCAGCAACTGTGTCTTTTCCCTTGTTTTGAACTCTGGGGAGAGAAGCTGTTATTGAGGGCCTGCTCTGAGAGGAGCTGCAGGAATGCGGGTAGCACTTCTGCTTCCACAAAGCTCTCTCCTTTTTACCTCCTGGGAACCAACTGGCACCAGCACCATCACCACTTGATACACAGGAAAATGAAGGAGAAAGAGGGCTGTGAGCACAAGCTGGGTGCTGGGCAGTTTGTCTTCTTCTTGGGGCTTTTCAGAGCTGTATGTGGGAGAAGGATGGGGAAGTGGGTTAGGAGGGCACAGGTTGCCACTGCGCTCAGGCCAGCCTCACCTGGGGCGAGCACTTAAAGTCACAGAGCTAGGCCAGGGCTCTGTGTGGCCAGGGCTCCAGTCCAGCTCTAACAACGGTGCTTCTTCAACTCCTGTCCACTTCCACCCAGGCCTCAGCAAGAGTGTAGACCTCCAAAGCGAGACTGGTGTATTACTGGAGCATTCCTGAGGTCCCAGAAAACCTCCTGGCAGCTTCCCTCCACCCAGCAGGTCCCCGGCAAGACAGGAGGCCTTCAGCGCAGGTGGTGCCACCTGGGTTTGGTCAGGCACACCTGGGTCATTATTCACACAGCCCCCAACACACACCATGGGCCTGTCCAGGATGGTGCAGCCTGTGTTTGACAAGGAGCGGGGTGTGTGCAGTCTCAAGATTTGCTCGGAGCAGTCGACTCATTTGCCCTTGAGCCTTGGCTGCTGTGGGCTGCCTTGCTCAGAATGGCAAAGGTGGCAGGAAGAGTCGGCTTCTGCCCAGCTCCTCCCCCAGAGGGCCCCACTTTAACCAGTCCTGGCTAAGAGGTCTTGCCTTTTTTCCAGAAGGCGATCATTTCCCAAAGGTCTGCTGGTCCAGAGTCAGCAACACAGTTTGGCTCTGCTGTAATTCCTTGGCTGGGTCATGTTGATCCACAAATCCTTCACTCTCACATGGCCAGGCCTAGCGCCTTGGATGTTTCTCTGCTGTTCCTAGCATTTGGGGTGCTGCCTTCCATTTCCCAGAGGTCCCAGGGAATATGCTAGGAGGGTGGATAGACAGCTTGGGTATGAACTAAAGAATTAAGGCTGTCTGTGGAGCACACAGGGACATTTTTAGAACTGGGAAACTGACCATCCCTGAGCTGGCGGGAACCTTGTCTGTTTTCCCAGGAAAGCAAGTTCTTAGCTGTGGCAGAGCCATGGTTGGTGGGTTGTATATTTTAAGATCTTCACAGAGGCAAAGTAAATATTATCCTAGGCCTTGTCTGGCCTTTTATAAGATCTGGAAGGAACCTTTGTGATAACGTTAGTAATTAAAGATCTGGAAGAAGCCTTTGTGATGATTCAGCTGGCTGCGTTCACTTTACCCATAAAGAAAGAGAGGCCCAGGGAGTGGAGGTAATCAGCCCAGACCACAGGCTCATTATGGGTGGGGCTGGGGGTTGCCTTGGGCTGCTATGTTCTCCAGCCAGTTCCCTGGATGCCATGCCTGGCTGCCTCCTATGGCTGGAGACTGCCTGCAGCGAGTTAACTTATCCCTTTGTGGCCTGTTTGGAAACAGGGCTTAGCACAGTGACTTCTCTGTAAATGCTTGCAGACTTATTACTTGATATCAAGTACCTACATTTTCAACAGACTCCTGAGCCAAGTCGTTTGGGTTTTTTCTTTTCCTACCAGGAGGTGGCGCTCCCTCCATGTCCTTGGCCCATCGTGGCCTAAGTGGAGCTGGGGGATCTCCTTCAGGGATTCTTTCCTCTGGGAACCAATGGCTGAAGCAAGTTGGTTGACTGGTTTTTTATTTACTCATGTGTCTGATTTCCTGAGCACTGTGGGCTGCCTGGGCTGCACAGTTCTCTACTTTTATCTTTGTCCATAATGCCTAGCTTGTTACAGAATTAAGAATTCTGGGAGTGTTGCCCTGTGAGGCTGGCAGCCTGGGCATTAACACTAACTTTCTCACTGTGTGAGTCAGCCCCAGTCTAGAGAGCTCTGCAGTCTGTAGTTCTATGGGGGCAACAGAGGTGAGGTGACCCTCTGAGACAGAGCCCCAGCAGCCCCTCCTGGGGGGCTGGAGGCTGGAAAGGAGCTTCAGTGCACGGTTTGGAGACCCTGGGTCCTGGCGCAGAAGTCAGCGTCTCTGCAGTGTGGGAAAGGAGGGGGGTGGAGCCCAGGATCCTTGCACTTGTTCCCTTTCAGCATCGATGCTGTCTACCTCCTGCCTTCCCCAGGAATCACCGCAGTGGTGCCTACAGTCCTCCAGTGAGCTGCTCCTTTAGGTTAAAGCACTAGCCACGAAAGGCTCTAGTAAAACACAGACTGACACCTGATAGGGGACGCTGCTGCGCTATCAGCTTGGGATTTGTTAAAGTCTGTGTTGATGTTAATGACAGTGAGGTCCAGTGAGGCACGTCCGACCACCTCTTCCTATCATGGCCTGAAACAGTGTCTTCAGTTAAACGTGAAAAGAGCCCTGGCTGAGGAGAAAGTCACTTTAGATGGCAGGGGCGCCTTAGGATTTTATTTTTGGTTTACAGATGGTTTGCCCCCTGGATGTGAGGACGAGGGAATTACAGGTCCTCATTTCAGGCTGCGTGGACGCAGTTCTTGCTCCACGATTCCTGCCGGGAAAACTGGAATCCAGCCTGCAAGGAGGAGTTCTCCAGGAACAGAGGCTGTTAGGAGCAGGGAGGTGGGGCAGAGTCCTGCTGGGGACCGCAGATTCCTACCTGCCCTCCTCCACCCAACTCTGCTGGCCCTTGAGTATCTCTCTGTGCCCAGGGCTGTGCAAGCTGAAGACGTAAGTGGAGATGGAGCACAGGACCCACCTCCAGGAGCTGCCCTTGCTGGTGTGGGGCAAACACTGAGTGACTTGCAGACAGCAAAGGAGTTTGCATGTAGAAGGGGTCAGGTGTCCTGCTTTCCTGAATTGAGTAAACAGTGATAAGGTACCTATGTCCCAAGGTCAAGCGGAGACATCATTCAGTTCTCATCCAGGGCATCTCAAAACTTGTTTTAGCTATTTGAGAAAGACTGTGCAAGGAGAGCTGGAGTTAAGATCAGTTAATACTTTTGTGCCCTAAAGGGGTGTCAACTCCACATTGAAAAGCAGGTAATGTCTGCAGCCTTCTTCCTTACCCTGGCTGGGCCCGACTTCCCCTAGGGGCTTCACATGCTGCTCTGCAGGATGCAATGCCCTCCCCACTACCTTCCTGCTCACCGCCCAAAGCCGCCTCCACACACACACAGTGTTCGCTCCTCCAGGCCCTTTTTGCATCTCTCCCTGTTCTTGTCTGAATGGATCTGAGTGACGGAAGCACCATGTGTGAGGCTATGTGAATGCTTCTATTCTACCTGCACTGCTGTGTCACTGCATTTATGGAGTTACCAGAACAAGCTGGCCCTATGCTGTGTCTGGGGCAGCATGTTTTCCCACACCCAGGTCACTAGCAGGTCCCACATGAGACCACATGAACCCACTTCCAAAACAGTACCTGAAACTGGGGGACCTGGGGAGAGATGCTGTTTGCAGGCAACAGGAGAGGAAGGGAAAATGGGATTTCTTGAGCCTTGCCTTTTTTTCATTTCCAAACCTTGGCTAGAATCACCTCCGTTTCCAGGGCTCCCTGCCTGCCTGACTCTTCTCTCTACACTGGACACCCTGTTTTTCTGTCCTTTTTTTCTAGCAAGACTGAGGATTGGGGATATTTAAATGAAGATGGAGAACTCGGCTTGGCCTACCAAGGCCTAAAGCAAGTTGCCAGGTGGAGCATAATCCTTTCTTCCTGTGTCTGCTTTGTCCATTGTGCCTGCTCGTGTCTACGCTTAATTGTTTTTTAGCTAGAGTGGGGGTGAGGGCATGGGGAACATTTTTCAGCTAGAGTGGGGTGAGGGCATGGGGAACTTTTTCAGCTAGAGTGGGGGTGAGGGCATGGGGAACAGTTTGTGTGCAGTCTGGCTGGTAGCCCCTGTGGTTGACCATCTGTCACTGTGCCCAGGCTGTGCAGATGTGCTTGAGGGAAGCTGCTTGTTTGGGTCAAGGTGACAGCACTTGGTGAACCTCAGGAACCATATGGTCCTGCCACTTGTCCTATAGGTGAAGAAAGAGACAGTACGGGAGCTCGCATGGTGGCAGGCATGCAGCTCTTCTTTAGAACAAGGCTGAGAAGGAAACACCCTGGGGAAACCTGGGCCTGTGCTGCTTCCACACTACATATCGGCCCTCCTAACTCTGCAGGATCAGCCAAAAACATCTGACTGATCTGTGCTGCTGGCTGTGCTCCAAATGCAGCCTGTGCCCTCCAGAGCCTGCCATCAGCACATGTGCTGGTCCTGATCTCCAGGTCTCCCTGGAGCTGATGGCAGCCAAGTGCAGTGCATGCACCTTGATGTCTAGCCTCACAGCACCCTCGTCGGGTAGACACTGAAGCCCGGAGGGTTTAAGGAACTTTTCAGTAAAGCAGAAGATCCAGAATTTGAACCTGGTTCCATTTGATACCAGAGTCTGAGCCTGAAACCCACTGGCCCTCAGCAGCGGGTGAGCAGTTTACCCGGACAGGGTAGGCATGCACCAAAAGGAAACCCTCTGATGATCACACCATAGGCCTGTTGACTGCAGATGGCTTTTAAGAGCAGTGGCATAGCTTTGCCCATTGGAGCCTCTCAATAAGAGATGGACTGGTGGTCATCAAGCTCGCTTTCCAGAGAAGAAACTGGGACTTGGCAAGGTGACATGAGTGCTAGGCCCAGCTCCCTCAGCCAGGAGGGAGCAGGAGCTGGGAGCCCTCATGCTGCTTCCCCTTGCTGCCTGCTGAGGATGTAGTAGACATTACCGTTGCACCAAGAGCATCTCTTCTTGGAAAAAGAAAGTTTAGTCACCGATTCACAAGGTAGTGTCTCTCTCTGGCCCTACAACCTGTGAGCAAGGTGACATGCTGGGTCTGTTTCCTTGTGAATGAAATAAGACCTTCCTCATGGGGCATTATAAGGAATAAGGTTAATATGGGTGAAGTACTTTGCACATGCCTGGCATGTAATCACCGGATAATAAATATTAGCTGCTACTTCTATTACTATAACTGTTATTATTCAATAAGATCAGATTTCTGTCCCAGCCAGAAGTTTGTTTTATTGGAGGAATGACCTACGTATGAAGCCAGGTGATTCCTCATGCCCCTCCATCAGCAGATCAGATGTGGTTTCATGAACCAGCAACTGAATGCATTAATAAAGTACAGACCTATGAATCAAGCGTCCTGGTTTCTCCAGTCAGCCCTGCCACTGTTGTGACCTCAGAGCTCTTTTGGCCTTAGTTTTCTTACCTGCACCATGAGGTGGCTAGCCTAATGCTTAAGCAGGAACAGAACCCTGGCTGGTCACTCAGCTACAGTCCACCTGGAGAATGAGTCATGAACAGTGACCATGCCACAGAAGGCAGGAGATGAATCCTCAGGGCAGCTTGCCCAGAACCCAAGAGTGTCTATGCTCTCTCATTAAATTTATAGCTTATTGGTGACTACTCGTAATGGACTGTAGCCAATACTGGATATTATCTAAATACTGTATCTCATTTTAAATCCTGACTTAATTACCCAGTTATCCCCACAAATCTCATGTTATTCTTCTTTGGTAATATTGCCTGTGGTGAATGAGTGATTTTCTCAATCACTTCTTCATTCATTTGTGAGACTTCGTTGAGAAGCCACTGGGAGTCAGGTGTTGCACCCAGGGCTGCTGTGGAGCTGATTCAGCCACATAAAATGGTCGCTTCTGTCAGTAGTGTAGACTTCCCCTCTCTTTTGCTCCCTTGCAGACATGGCTCCACCTCTCTTATGGCAATTGTCGCCTCCCAAACCATCAGAACTGTAAAAAACATGGTGCTTTCCTCCAGGACAGCCACAGTCCCTAACAGCTGTCCCCTGGGCACGCCCCAGTTCCTCCCTCTGTGCCTAGCTTGGTCATAATCATTATTTGCATCCCCAGAAGACCCTGGGGTGAATTTTTTCCACGTAACCATGTCTGAAAACTCCTTACAGGACCTCTCCCCCAGCACCCTAGCTTTCTTCCATATGAAGCCTGCTGCACTGAATCAGAAAGCTGGTTTAAGCAACTAAGTCCAAGAAGGACAGCATCATGGTCATATTAGCATTTAACTTCCTGAAGGTGAGGCTACCTATGAGCCTTCATTAATCTCTTGCCTTCTATTATGATGGAAGCATTGCCCAGGTAACTGGGACCCCTGATCTTGGGCCTTTTGACTCAGAGTCTTAGGAGACTTCTCCTCAATGTTTGCAAGATCTCCAGATCTCCCTGCTTCTCGTCATTACACTAACTGATCTTACACCTTCCCCTAGATCATTGGCAAATAGTCTTAGTTTTCATTTTTGGCTGGAGGAAACTTGTATATAAAAGTTGTATATTTAATAATTGTATGTATAAAATGAAGCTAGTAATAATGGTACAGATAAAAAGGAAAGGGGCTAATATTTTGCCTTTCTAAAACTTGTGGAGAATTTGCCATAGGGAAAATATCTGAATAATATAATTAGCTCAGTTTTGCCAGAGTTTTGTCTTAAGAAGGAGGTTCTTGTGAACTTTGGGGGCAGATGTAGCTATTTTTATTTAAAAAATGCTTTAAGAAATGTATTTCTGTTGATAGACGTTTTGACAGGGAGACAATCTCAATCCCAAATGGTTAAACTATGCTCACAGAATGAGAAAAAGCCGTAGGACCAGGAGCGCTTTGGCCTTGGTTTCCTGTCATCCAAGAGGAGGACAGTTGGCCCGCTTGCCTCGCGTTCCCCACAGCATCTGTCTCCTGCTGCGTTCATCCCTCGGGGGGATGTGTGACCCCTGCTGCCGTGTGCTTGGCTGCTCCCCTGTCATGCTTCTGCCTGTGGCCCCTTACATGGAGGCCCTGGCCTGGGCTGTGTGCTCACCTGTCTTCTCCCTGGCTCAGGCTGCTGGAGGCTCAGCTGCAGGCCCAGAGCCTGGAGCATGAGGAGGAGGTGGAGCGTCTCAAGGACCAGCTGGAGGCCCTGAAGGAGGAGATGGACAAACAGCAGCAGACCTTCTGCCAGACACTGCTGCTCTCCCCAGAGGCCCAGGTGGAATTTGGTGTCCAGCAGGAGATATCCCGGCTGACCAACGAGAATCTGGTGAGTAGCCATGCCTAGTGGACCCCAGCTCTGGGAAGTCATGTCCTGGAAGAAAATGGGATTGGGTGGTCTTTGGCAAAACGGACAAGGTTCATGAAGCTTGTCCCTATCAGTAGAAACAGAGATTCTAGAATTCCCCACTCAAGGCCCCTTTACTGCAGCTGAAAGATCTCAGACAGCCTCATTCCTACTTCTAGGGCCTTGGTGTTGGCCGTCGGCTGGAGGCCTCACCTGCCTTCTTGCCACGTTTCATTGGTCTAGCTGAGCTGTTTTGCCTGGCAGCTGACTTCCAGGAGGATGAAAGCAGGAACATGAGACCCCTTGAGGCTCAGCCCCAGAACTGACAGCGTTGCTTCTGCCCGTTGATCAAAAGCAGTCTCATGGCTAGGCCAGATATGGTGGGGGAGAGATTCTACCTCTTGAAGGGAGGAGTAGTGGGAGAAATTGTTGGGGGCCTCTTTGCAAACAGTCACCAAAGGAGCCCCAGCAGATGCCAGAGAAATGGGAGAGGGTCCCTGTCCTATGAGAGCTTGCAGATTGGTCAGTAGGGGAAGGAAGGCATGTAATAAAGAAGAGAAACTAGATAGTGTTTTTAAAAGCATGATTCTGCTTTTAAAAACAGAATGGAGTTAACTAGTATTACAGAAAGAGAAACGGTAGGGCAAGCTTTTGGGGGTACGTTAGGCTTGAGCTGAGACAGGAGGCGTGAAGGGGATGTAAACCATGGAGACTGGCAGAGAGGGGGAGGGAGAAGAAAAGCATGGACCAAGGCACCCAGACAGAAGTGAAGGCCACCCGAGGGCAGGGCTCAGCAGTGACAATTATCTTCTGGAGTTGCATGTGCCCACAGAGGGCAGCACATTTGTATGCCCACAGTGTATCCATTCCAGGAGCCCAGCCATGGCTGTCATTTTCTTTATAACCAGATGACCTATAATAGGGTGGCTGGTTCACTTGATCCCAAGAGGAAAAGTGGGGCCCCAGACCCACAGCTGAATAGCACATACATGTGATCTTCCCTCCCCTCCCCCCCTCTGTCTCCAAGTCACTCTCTGTTACCTGGTGGCTTTAGGGAAAGAAATGCACTGTATTAAAGAAACATACCTGGCCATAGGAGGCAGTCTAGGAAATGCATTTGGTGGCCCGTGTTCCCTGGAGGGCCACTGACCAAGCAGCACAGTGGAAAGCCACCTTATAAAGAGGGCTCTGCGCCGTGCAGGTACTGTGTTAGCTCACGGCACACCAGCACAGTGTCACCAAGGCCACACTTAGGAGAGTCAGTGAATGGAAAGAGGTGGGTAGTCCCACCTTAAGAGGCCACGAGAGTAAAAGAAGACAGTGCAGTGGGCCCCTCTGCTGGACTGGTGACCCTGGAGCATGAGTAGGGGCCTGTGCTGATGGGCAGGCAAGGATGAGGAGGAGGACTCCAGCTTGCAGCCTGCTGAGAGACTCCTTCCAGAATGCGATCCTCTTTGTTTGTCAAGACAGAGACTGGGACCCTTAAGGAGAGTCAGCCGCAGCAGTTTCCAGGGGCTGTGGGTGATGTACATTTGTCTGCCATGTGCCAGCTGGTAAAGCACTGACCTCTGGCAGAGAGGAGACCATATATACACAAGTAACCATAGCACAGGGCACTAGGCAGCCTTGGGTGGAGTGTAAGGAAGGTCAGGGGAAACTGCTTGAGGCTGGAGTGGTCCAGGTGTCTGTGTAGAGGGAAGGATGTGATTGTCCCTCCTAGTAGCAACTTGGAAAGTTTAGAGCCATCTTCAGATGTGCTCATTTTTCATTTCCAAGATTCCTTATGAATTGAACTCATTCTTCTGTAAGCTTTTGTAGTTTTAGCCTTTAGGACTTTGGGCCTTGGTATCTGCACAAGTTTGCAGCCACTGTGGCCAGCACTGTGCTCCCTTTAATTGTTCTAAATGTGTTGATTTTAAGCTTTAAAGATTCCCAGGTGGTTCCAACACCCTTACAAAGTTTGGGAAGGGCAGCTTTATATAATTCCCCTTAGCACATTAAGGAATTCAACCTTCTGAGATTTTGGGGGGTTGGGGGTTGGACACTCAGGAATGTCTTTGCACAAAGCCACCATTAGTGACATGAATCCTTATGTTCCCCTCTGCTTGAGCCTTTCGGGTGGAGTATTGGGTTTGCTGGGCTTTCTCGAGAAGCTGGCTGAGATGTCAGAGCTCTCGAAGCAGGAGTCAAAGACTGGATTAATCTTTCCTTCTAAGATGTTGCAAATAGGCATTGGAGCATTTATTATCTGTCCTCCCAGGGTGTAGTGAAGGTTTTCAAAAAGACACAAGAAATAACTTTCTCTTGTGGATTTGGTAGTGTTGCACAGAGGAGCTTGGGACTGATGATGGTCATAGTACCAGCATGCTGGTCCTGACCTGGTCTGGGGCCGCCCTGGGCTCCTCATTCACTGGGTTGGTCAAGTCACGTGGCCCCAGGTGTTGGTTAATTCTTTGCAAGAGTCAGAGCTGTAGCTGAGGATTCAGTGGGGTTGGATCTGGACAGGGTTATATGAGCACAAGGCAAGGGTGGCAGTGCAGCAGAGCCAGGGACATCACATGCTTTGGAGCTGCTTGGGAAGGCACCTCACAGGGAGACGGACTCTGAGTAGCATTCAGGGTTCACAGGAGACCTTCAGCAGCCACAGAGAATCCTGGCTCAAGTTTCTCTAGACATCTGGGTCCTTTCTACCAACCAGCCTCTCACACAGAGGCCGCTCTTAGGTCACCGATTGAGGTTTTACTCTCTGCCTGTCACTTGAGCTGGGTTTTTAGATGCCTCTCAATTTAAGAAGTATTTTTAAAAATTTGCTTTTTCATCATGGTGAATAGATAAGTCCCTAACAACATCTATAACTAGGTGAGTAGTTTGGGATGGCCACAGCACTGGGACTGGGCCGACTTCTGTCAATAGGCCAGTCTTAAAAAGTTGCCACCCAGCGTGTCTGTAGAGGCTCCACTATGGAATACTCACTTCTGTCTTCCCGTCACTCTCTAACAGCCAAGGCCAGCTCCAGTGGTGATGGAGCAGGGATCCTTCTCTCTTTCTTGCGTCCCTGGCCACAGAGGACCACTGCTCAGCTGGGATAGGGGTGACATTAATGACAGCAAACTTCTCCCCCAGCACCTTGCTGTTCTATGTCCCAGTGGGCTGATGTGCTTCCAGTGGCAACAGCTGCTAGGGACTGGGGCCACACCAGTGTCCTGTTTTGCCTCTGGGCCCTGGGTAATCTCACTTGCCCACAGGCTCTGCTAAGCGCCCTTGCCTCCTGCATTCTCACACCTCCACCTTTCCATTCCTTCCGAAGGCACTGCCCGCCCCACCCGGGACTGCCAGGCTGAGTGTGTCTCCTGGGGGTTGGCATGGCAACTGGTGAAGTCTTGGCTTGAGGAGGCTTGGGATTCAGCAAGGCACCAGAGAGCCTGACCTGGGAGGAGTCTTGCCCTGTTGTTACTGAGAGAATGTACTCTGACTCATCATCTCCCACTTCCTGAGTTCCAGAGCAGGTGGCAACAGCCTGTGTGGAGTAGCTCTCCTGGCAGCGTCCCTGACTGGCACTTTTCCGACGGCTGCCCATGGGCCACCTCCCACTCGAAGCAGGATTTTACCTCCACCATCCCAGGCAGGGCTGATATCTGTTCTTACACTGCTCCCTTTGCTTCCAGGACCTTAAAGAACTGGTAGAAAAGCTGGAAAAGAATGAGAGGAAGCTCAAAAAACAACTGAAGATTTACATGAAGAAAGTCCAGGACCTAGAAGGTACGGGGGAGTGAGTGAGTGTGTTTCGTGAAGCAGGGGTACACTTGGCCACGCCTGTGGGTGTGAGCTGCCTGCCTGCCCTCTCCATATTCTTCCTACTTCACTGGAGGAATTCTTCTATCACTGGACTCTGCCCAGTCCAGCCATGCGATAGAAGTAGTCAGATCCCATGAGCTGACACATCCAGCATATGGACAAAAGACACTTGAATTCAGCCAGTTTGGGTGCTTACTCTGAGCAAGGCTCTGCAGGGCTAGAAGAATGCGGAACCCAGAGGTGACCTGGTGGTCCCTGCCCTCAAAGGGCTTGAAGTTGGGAGGCAAGACTGATGTGAAAGAATGTTGTGTATCAAAAGGATGTAACCCCCCAGGGCCTCACTCCATGCTGTGGGGAGTCAGGATTAAACTTCCCATCTGGAATCTTCAGGTAGAGATTTAAATCACTCTTCCGGAAAGACCCAGAATGTTCTCTCCCTCTGACTCCCTGCTGCAAATCTCCCTGTGTCACTCTTTGCATGTGTCACCCTGCTCGGAACCCTTTTTCAGCCCCTCACTGCCTGGATCCCCCTCTGCCTCCTTCCACCCTCAGCTCAGGAGCCATATGCCCAGGGCTTGAATCTTGTCTTACACAGTCCTGACTCCATGAGCATGTTGGGTACAGCTCTGATCACAGGTGTCGTTTTACTTGTTTAATCTCCTGCTTCTCTAGACTGGAAGCTCTTAGAGGGCAAGGATGTCTATGATCTCTGTTCCGGGGTATACCTCTCTCCAAACTTGTCCATATGCCTGCCAACTTTGGATTTCTCATTTGCTGTTCCTCCATTTCTCATTCTCCTGGTCTCTTGGCTTCAAGCTTTGCTTACTCCTGAAGACCTATCACTCCCTGTCTTCCAGTGCTTCTCTGTGTCTGCCCCTACCCCTGTGTCCAGTTCTTGTCCCCTGTTCCCAGATTACTTAGTGGCTTCCCAGTCCTGTCTCTGTTCACAGCACTGTCTGGCCTTTGCTGTCGCGTCATTGCCTGCAGAATGAAATCCCAGCCTTTGTCTGCCAGCCTTCATCCTCTCACACTCATCCCCACCTCCACTCAGAGCCTCTGCAACCACTTGGAGTGTGTGGAGCAGCCTCCCCACCAGAGGTCACTCGCCCTGGTCCTCTCCTGACGGATCAGCCCCTTTGAACCTGGATGTGAGAGTCCCACCCATCCTTCATCCCACCTTCTCTGTGGGCTCCTTCCAGCCCTGCCACCTTCAGCACCCACATCACACACTCCTGACCTGGTGTCTGAGCTGTGTTGTAGTATTTCCATGTGAATGTACAGATGTGTCGCCTTAGCTCAACTGGCCAGGGACAGATCGGCCATGCCATTGTATCTGTTCCCATGCTTAGGACAGTGCCCTATGTGCAGTCAGCACCAAGATGCATTTGGGGATAATGCTGTGGATGTCCACTGCCCCTCCACCATTGTGTGAGGCTGAGAGGCCTGAGTGAGGGTTGATCAGGCCTTTATACCCTCAGCCCTGTCACTGAAACTCTTGCCAAATAATCATCTTATGTAGTTGCAAAGACTGCACTTGGCAGCTTCCTAAACCTAAACCTGAATTTGGGAGCCAGGACATGTCCTTACTATCACCGTCACCACCCTGCTCCACTGCCTACAGGCTGCAGACAGTGCTCAGGCCTTACCCTGAACAGCTGGGTTTGCCGTGCAGCTGCGTCACAGTGGCCACTCTGTGGCCACACACACAGGGAAATGAGTGTAGTGCGCTAGGCTGAAGCCAAGCTCTTCCCAGAAAAACCTATCTCCTTTCCTTACAAGTCAGTAGGGAAAGAGAAACAACTGGGCAGGAGCGGTGAGAGACCATGCTGGCTCACATCCTTCACAAGTTTTCTCTGGTCTGAAACCTGCCTCCTGCCTTTTCAGATGTTTCCTCTCCGCTGTCCAGAGTACAGACCCCAGTGCTGGATGCTGAGCTCCTTGCTCACACTTGGGGTGTGGCTCTGGTTGCAGGAACAGACCCTGCAAAGAGAGTGGGAGTTCAGAGAACCCAGAATGCCCCCTGCTCCAGGTCCCATCCTCCACACGCCAGAGATGCCCACTTCCCCGCCCCAGGTCCCATCTTCCACCCACCAGAGATGCCCATTCCCCACCCCCCCACAAGATCCTATCTTCCACCCACCAGAAATGCCACTCCCCCCCTCCAGGTCCCGTCCTCCACCTGCCAGAGATGCCCACTCCCCAGCCCCCGGTCCCATCTTCCACCCACCAGAGATGCCTGCTACCCTCAGGCCTGCAACTGGAAGTCTCATCCATGCTTCCTGTTCTCTTTCCTGCTCAGCTGCCCAGGCATTGGCCCAGAGTGAGAGGAAGCGCCATGAGCTCAACAGGCAAGTCACAGTCCAGCGGAAAGAGAAGGATTTCCAGGGCATGCTGGAGTACCACAAAGAGGACGAGGCCCTCCTCATCCGAAACCTGGTGACAGGTCAGGACCCCTTGTGCTACCCCATACTGCCTGCCCCTCATTCAGCCCCCACTCCCATCTCCATCCCCAACACAACCCCTGTACCCCTTCATCCACCTCCCGCACAGCCCACACCCTCTGTCTCCTGCTTACCTTGCACCCACCCCCATCTTCCACTGCCCCCACCTACTCTTGTCCACCCCCAACTCCTGCTGTCTCCAGCTGCTGTTCTTGGTGGAGACCCACTGCTTCTTTGTTCTGCCTGTGAAACAGAAGTGGGAGGGGAGCCACCCACATGCTTTCCCCAGCAGCAGCCACAGCCCCCTTTCCTCTGTATGGGCCACAGTGCTTTTGCAATGATGGCAGCTCATGATTCTGGAGCACATCCTGCTGCCAGGTCCTCTGCCAGGCACATCACCTTCATCCCTCATTGAATCCTCACAACCTCCCTTTAAGTCAGAACTGCTGCCTTCTCATTTTACACTGAAGGAAACAGACTCACTCTGGTAACTTGCCCAGGTCACACAGCTGTGAAGCAGCGGATCAGGGATTCAGATTCCTTCTGTTTGGTTAGGACTTCACAGTTTATTAGTGCTGTGTGGTACAGCACGTGTGGGCATGGTCTCTGGAATCACGTGGGCTGTGTTCAGACCTGGGTTCTTTCCTAACTAGACACATGTGGCTGTGGATGTGCTACTCACCGGTGTTCCTGTGTAGAGCACAGGAAAGGAGATTGTGCCACTGGCATGGAGTTGTGAGAATGAAAGTTCGTATTTCATTGCACACACATGGTCCCTGGACCAGCAGCATCAGCATCCCCTGGGAAGGGGTGAGAGATGCAGAATCTTGGGCTCCACGTCAGGCCTCCTGGATCGCAATGCACATAACAAGATGCCAAGGGACATTCACAGGCTCATTAAAGTCTGAGGAACGCCGAGTTCATGCAGTCTGTCCAGAATCACCCTGGTCCCATTGTGAAAGTTCATCAGGATTGGCTTTTACTGTCATCCGCAGTTTCTCATCCAGGCATATGGCTGAATCAGGGCTGGCCTGCTTGCCTCCCACCCTCACGAGCTCCCCAGGGCCATCAGGCAGCTGTGAGAGCCACTGCTCAGAATCCCTCCCGCAGCTGGGCTTTTAGAACTGAAAAACCTTCCACACTAGCTGCCAAGAGAGCAAGGTTTTCTCTGTGAAAAGAGGAGCCCCCCTGCCCTCACCCCGCCACTCTCTGGGTCCCTCCTGGCTGCTCAGCATGGGGCCATAGGGGGTCCGCTTCACCTGTGCAGCTTACTCAGGCTTATGCCCATTGCTGCTTTACAAGTCATACCAGCTCCCTCCCCTCCAGTCTCATTTCCCCATCTGGCTGCAACAGGCCACCTCCCTGCTCTGTGCCAACCTAGTCCAGCAGCCCCCTGCAAAGCCAGGAAGAGACTTAGAGGAGAGAGTCCTGTGTGAAAAAAAGGGCAGCCTTTGGTGGTCTGATCTTCTGGACCCTGAGCCAGCAGCTCCCTTCTCCATGGCGGCTTAATGAAATGGGGATGATGACACTGACCTGCCTGCCCCATGATGTGAAGTGTGGCAAAGACAAAAGTGCTGGGTTCAAGCTGCAAAACACTTCTCAAATGTGAGGAGTTCAAAGGAGTGGTAGCTTTTGCAGGATTATCTGAAGTTCAGATAAGAGGTGAGCATTATTTGGAGAAACTTATGTTAGACTGAAGTCCAGCTCTGCTGATCACTGTGCCTAGGCCCGAGGGACCCGGGAAGAATGGACTGTGACGTCTGCCTTAAACAGATTCGCTCCAGCTGTTTGGTTTGTGTGTTTTTAGTAACCTGCTTCTTAGATGTATTTTTCTCTTTTATAAAACTTAATTTCCTCTTCAGTTGTCCAGCAATTAAATGTGATTTAAGTTTATCTTAAACTTCCTTAAACAGACTGCATCTTGTTCAAACGCAATTAGGAACAAACCTTTCATCTCTGATGAACGAAATGTTCAATAAATAAGGCTGCTTGTGTCAGACAGGTGGCTCCCTCCTGCCATTCGCCAGGGTTTTCACGGAGTAAACCCTGCCATCAGCAGGAGATGACTCTTGCTCAGGTGGCCCCAGGCAAGGTCATCTCCTGCTGAGCTGCCTGGGAAAACCCTGCAGTCATCTTCACTCCCAAAGACCCCTTCCAAACAAATGCCAAAACGTGACCACAGACCACCTACCTCTTAGGTACCTGGTACTGACCAGTTGCTGTGGAGGAGAAATAAAACTAGTGTCATGGTTCTCCAAGATGCTAACATTTAGCTGGGGGGCCCAAACAAGCTTTATTCAGTCACAGTAGAACATTCGAAGGCAGGACAGATTGTAATCTGCACATAGGACAAGACTGAAGTACCAATTTATGGATTAGAATACACTTTCCTGGCTAAATGTGACTGGCACTCTAATTAGAGCCAATGGCTGATCCACAGCCATCTGTTAGACCTGTAAAATGCCCAAATGTCTACCGTGTACTCAAGAGTATCACAGCCTACAGTTAGCATTTAACGAGAAGAATGTGTTGGAGCAGGGACGGTATAAACCAAATACCAACTGGAGCTGCTGGCAGTAGAGCCCAGCCCAGGACGGGCCTGGTAGAAGGTTTGCAGGGATACTGCCACCTGCAGGTGGGAGAGAGGTGGCCTCCCTTCATTGCCATTCTGAGCCTAGAGGTGGCTCATGAGGCCTCATTTGGGAGGGTATGAGTGTAAAGAACAAGGGCTGGGGATAGAGCAGGGCTGTGGCGAGACCCCTGGGGCCTTGTGCTCACACCCCATTCTCACCTGTCATCTTGTCTTTGGCCTTCCCCCCAGTTCTCTGGGCTCCTACCACCACTTGTTGCCTTAAGCCTGGCTCTCCTTGCATGGTCTGGAATAGAAAACAGTCTGACAGCTGCTTCCTGTTCTCCAGGGCCTTTTGCAAAAAGGACCAAAAGCTGAGTCTGCAGTTAATGGGGAGACTCACAAGGCCCTTCCAGTTCAGCCAGAGCAGCCCTTGCCCAGGCAGGGGCAGGACTGTGGGATACAGAGGAGAGCAGTTGGGGGAAGTACGAGAGCGGCTGGAGAGATGCGTGCTGAGCAGCGGCACTGGGGAGGGGTCGGGGCCTGCCGGGTCTATTCAGCTGTGAGGTTGGGCAAGCACTGCTGGGTAACTTGTTCCTAACTGATGGGCCAGAGGTTGTTCCAGGCTCCCCAGCCCTCAGGATGTTGGCCCTGTCTTTGGGAACATACAATTTGTCTAATTCTGGAGCTAGCCCTCGCCTTCTGGAAGTGGTGATGGCCGAGAATCAGGAGTTCCCACCTGGTGTGGGAACTAGGTCCTGTCCTCAGCCTTCCCTTTGCCATGGGCCCCTGTTGGCAGCGGATCAATGCATCGTGTAACCTGCAGGCACTTTTCCTCCATGTTATAAGCCTGAGGTGTTAGAAGCCTGTTTGAGTGTTGTAGTACAATTAGGAGTGTGGTTTTGTTTGTTTGGGTTTTTAACCACAAATATCTGAAACTACTGGTTTCAGGCTCAGCAGTTTGTGTACCCTGGGTGGCTTCTCTCCCAATCCTCTTTGAGACCTCTATTCCTAGATGAGCTGTGGGGAGATACTGAAAACAGCTCTATTCAGATGAGGATTCTGACAGCCTCCCCGCTTGCTGCTGTCGTTGCCCTTAGACTTGAAGCCCCAGATGCTGTCGGGTGCGGTGCCCTGTCTCCCCGCCTACATCCTCTACATGTGCATCCGGCACGCAGACTACACCAACGACGATCTCAAGGTGCACGCCCTGCTGACCTCCACCATCAACGGCATTAAGAAAGTCCTGAAGGTAAGCGGCCTCTGCAGAAGACCATGGTTTGTGATGGGCGGGCAAAGCCAGCCACTCACCATTGCTTCTCTGTGTCTGGGTTTTTGATGTGCGGGCAAAGCCAGCCACTCACCATTGCTTCTCTGTGTCTGGGTTTTTGATGGGCGGGCAAAGCTAGCCACTCACCATTTCTTCTCTGTGTCTGGGTTTGGCTGTAGTGAATTCTCCCCAGGCTCCAACTTTGAAGGTAAATGAGGCACAGAAGCATCCATGTAACCCAATGCCTGGCAGTTCCCAGAGAAGGATGCTTAAGCCCAGCAGTGTCAGGAAGCCCAGGACTGTGGTGTAGGTAGCCCTCCAGCCCCTCCCTGCTGAAGCTCCAGACATGCCCAGAACCTACAGAAGCCTTGGCCTGCCCACTGCCAGATATGCTAGGGAGATATCCTGCTGCTGCCAGGGGTGTGTGGGCCTTGCCCTGGACCAAGTTTGGGGACACCCCTGGAACATGGGCCCTCTCCACCTTTCTTGAGTGCTTGCTTCCCTGGGGGATGAGACAGGGAGAGTTGTGACATCATCACCTTCCAAGGTAAGGCAGCCCACAGGACAGGGCTGCCTGCAGGCTGTTAAAGTTGCTCAGCAATGCCACCTATAGGCACAAGGCTTTTGGTGAATGTAGTGCAGCTGCCACTGAGAAACAGGCTGACCTGCAGGGAGGTGAGGCCTTTCCACTCAGGGTGAGGGCCAGGCAGTGGGAGGTGAGATTCCTGAGGGAGATGAGCCCTCAATAAGAGGGATTTCTGCCTTCTAGCAGGCCTGTGCCCGGAGTGGTACTGCTCTTAGAGACCGTCTTAGTTCTCACACACTACTGCTTCCAGGATACAAGCCATTCTCAAAAGCTCTGAGTCCAGACCAATTCTGGGGTCCACTGAGCTGCTGGTTGCTACTCTGAGAATTCCAGAGCCAGCCTTTAAGTCTGGTTTCCTGCCCTCAGTAGCTGCATTGTCCACAGGCAATCTTATCCACTCATGGCCCTAAAGCATACATCTCTATGCTAGTGGCTCTCAGGTTTGTGTCTCCGGCCTTGACCCTCTTTCATGAGTACCATCTGGCTGGAATCTTGGGCCAGTCTAGGCCAGTTTAAGGCTGACACAAATGTCACTTCCTTAGGAAAGCCTTCCCTAATTCCAAGCTAAAAGAGCATGTCCCAGTCCCACCAGTCACTTTCTATTCAACCTCATTATTATTTTGTCGTCGTTGTTGTACCTCACACCATTCTGACGTTTAAATAATGACACTTATTTGACAGAATGAGCTGCATGAGGTCATCAGTGCTAATGCAGCAGCTGTCTCATAGCTGTTTGGGTTGCTGAACAGGCTTTTTCACCTAGTTAGGGTTTGTAGCCTTTTCCTAGAGAGTTAAAGCATGACACAACTGTCCTCTAGATAATGGGACACCAAAATATTTTGTTGGCATGCTCTTTTAGAATCCCTTGTATCGAGTAACCAGCAGTTTAGAAACAGAGCCAGCTAGCCCAGGCAGTTAGACGAGAGCCCAGGGCTGCTGGGGCTGAGCCTCATCTGTCACTCAGCTTTGCATTCATTCTTCAGCCATGGAAGGTGGCCTGTCCTTTCTGTGTGTCAATGATACAATTTTGAAGGACAGCTGTATGTGCACCACTGATCAGGGGACCAAGACAGGGGTTCTGTGTACATGCTTGTTGGCAGAGGATTAGTCACACAGCCTCTCAGCAATGGGTCTCATTCCCGTGACTGGCAAGTGCCCTGCCCACCCTCAGGGCTGCTCAGGAATGCTGGATAAGAGTAGGAAATGTGGGGAGAGAGGTACCGAGGAAGCATCTCACCAGACGGGAGCCACTTAAGCTGGGGATGTCCTTTTCTTTTCACAGAAGCACAATGATGACTTTGAGATGACATCATTCTGGTTATCCAACACCTGCCGCCTTCTTCACTGTCTGAAGCAGTACAGCGGGGATGAGGTGAGTGGGGAGCTGGCCACCCAGGAGGCGTCCCTTCTTCATTCAAATGCGGTTGAGAAGTGCTTTGTATCCCCTCAGGAGAGGTCAGTTGGGTCTTCGGAGCACCCTTGGGGACCTCAGACCATGGGCACACCTTATCATACCTGGTGGCTGGAAGCAGGAATAAAGCCAGCCACAGGAGACCTGCCTCCAGGAGACCTTGATGAGCCCAAGGGGCCTCAGAAATTACTCCTGGGTTATGTAAGTAGGGTCTTCATAACCCATCATCCATAGAGGCCCTGGGAGTCTCCATGAAAACCTTGTAACCTTCTATTTCTTAAGCAGCTCTAGAAGAGCCCCACTGCAATGGATACTGGCAGGAAGCTCAGTTGCTTAGTGGGTCACCTGTCTCCTAAGCCATCCAAATTATCTGTCCATTTCAAGATAGACAAAGATGGCCGCAAGAAAAGAGGCACCCATAATCAGAACTACATGTGTACAAACTAGCCTGGAGGCCCAGCTCCATGCCTTCATCCAAATTGGATTCCTTGACCTGAGGCCCAACTGACCCCATCACTTCACATTCCACACTGAACCTGTAAGGCCCAGCTTTTTCTGGAACTCACATTCCCAGCTTTGGTCCCTGAAAGAACTTCTCCAGTGCTCTGCACTCTGCCCAATGACTTAGTAATACGTGACTTGTTTCCATTCTTGTTTCTCTGGTGAGAATCCCAAGTCGTTCCAGACATGCTCACTCACAGATTCCTGTAGGTCTTCCTGATATTTCCTCCGCTTCCTTTCACATATCCCACCATCTACCCTTCCCCAGGTCAAGGCATAGTGTAAACCAAAATAGTGTGACCATTTTTAAAGCTTTATTCCATCTTTTGGAATAAAGAACCAATTTTGACAGACCCTTCTCCCTGGATTATAACAGGATGTGCCTTTCCATTCAGTGTTACCTTCTTTTTTTATTATTATTTTTTTATTGCATTTTAGGTTTTGGGGTACATGTGAAGAACATGCAAGATAGTTGCATAGGTACACACGTGGCAGTGTGATTTGCTGCCTTCCTCCCCTTCACCTATATCTGGCATTTCTCCCCATTCTATCCCTCCCCAACTCCCCAAACCCCGCTGTCCCTCTCCTATTCCCCCCAACAGACCCCAGTGTGTAGTGCTCCCCTCCCTGTGTCCATGTGTTCTCATTGTTCAACACCCGCCCATGAGTGAGAACATGCGGTATTTCATTTTCTGTTCTTGTGTCAGTTTGCTGAGAATGATGTTCTCCAGGTTCATCCATGTCCCTACAAAGGACATAAACTCATCATTTTTGATTGCTGCATAATATTCCATGGTGTATATGTGCCACATTTTTCCTGTCCAGCCTATCATCTATGGGCATTTGGGTTTATTCCAGGTCCTTGCTATTGTAAACAGTGCTGCAGTGAACATTTGTGTGCATGTGTCCTTATAGTAGAACCTTCTTTGTGGTTGGCTTGACTCCATATCTCTCCTAGGAATAAGAACTGCATTTGATGGCCTGCTTTTATTCTAAAAGAGATGGGCAAAAGGTTGAAGAAACAGCCATTTCAAACCACATGCCTTCTGTTACAAAATCATAATATCCAAGCATTTACTTGAAGCATAGAACTACATGTAATGTTATTTCATTGAGGTCCATCACTTTACCCAATGTTCTATACATTCTAAATAAGGCTAGGGCAGGGCCTAGAACTCTATTACATTGGGCTATTGCTTCAGGTGCTTATATTCTCTGGGGCAAGACCTGAACCACAGCATAACCAGATCCGTGTAGTCCACAAACAAGGAAGAATGAACAAATCTATCTCCGTGATTACAGTTATCCCCTCTTCTGCCTGGTTTTGTTCATATTAAGATGGTTTTGTATTTGACACAGTACAACTGGCCTTGCTGAAGATGGTCACACTTTTGGGAGCACTAATCTTTTTGGCTGCTCTTGGTTTCTCCCTTGCCCTGTCTGAAAAGGACATTGGTCACATGCGTCCTTCTGATATCAGCAGTTCTCTTAACTTACATGTTATTTCATCTGATTAATATGGAAAGCTAAGAGGACACACTGCTGTAGCTATGAAATCAATTTAGTTCATCTGTTCATTCTGATACCCAGTGATAGAATCTGTAAAAGATGTCCCCCTACACAAACATACCATCTGGCCCATGGCCACACTCCTTTAGAGGCTGCATCTCATGTAACACTTTAGGGGGACCTGGTATATTGGGGAGAGCACTGGACGAAGTTAGAGAGCAGGGATCCCTTTCTCTGGACCTGGTACCAACCTGGGTTTTGTTACCATAGGGAAATCACTTCACTTCAGGGATTTGGACTGAATGATTCAGGCCTTCTCTCTCATTTGAGTTTTTCTACTACCTTGAAGTTCAAGGGTCATCAGTGAGGCCTCAGAGAACTGACAGGGTTTTGTAAAACATCAACTACATAGAAAGGACATTGGTAGGTCCCCCGCCCACCAAATAGATGACTAAAGTGACCAGAGCCCCGGAAGTGGTGCTGGGCCTAGCAGACCACAGAATCTCAGTAGTGCACGCCTCTCCCTCTGCAGGGCTTCATGACTCAGAACACTGCAAAGCAGAACGAACACTGTCTTAAGAACTTTGACCTCACTGAATACCGTCAGGTGCTGAGTGACCTTTCCATTCAGATCTACCAGCAGCTCATTAAAATTGCCGAGGGCGTGTTACAGCCGATGATAGGTAAGCTGGCAGCAGGAGAGCTCCATCACTCATCATGGGGTCTGAAATGAGAGGAAGATGTGGTCAGCACCCTCTGCCTTTCGGGAACCAGATGTATTAAACACAGAACCTTCACAGTGAAGGCAGAACTGAGGGGTGCACATCGTGCTTAAAAGAGCTGTGAAATCCCATGAAATTAACGATGCTAGGGTATTTGACACAGGGAAAGAGGCATAGAGGACTTTCCCTTTATCTCTCTTTTTGTAATATATTGTATTTTTCCATATTAATTTTAATACATAATAAATATAAACTCAAAGGTACAAATGCATATACAGTGGAAAACTCCTCTTAACCTATTACGAACTTGATTCATGGAAAAAAGAAAGCAGAAGTGTGTTCATGCAAAAGGACACAGCAGTAGGCACGATGCAGCAGTATTTATTAGACACGTGCTTTGAACCAAGCAGTGTGTTTGGGCACTGAACATGAAATAAGAATCAAAAAATGAGAGCAGTTACATTTTCTGCTGTTCCCAGGTTCAAGCGATTCTCCTGTCTCAGCCTCCCGGAGTAGTGAGGACTACAGGCACACACCACCATGCCCGGCTAATTTTTGTATTTTCACAAAATGTTGTGTAGATGCGTTATTCACTGTGCTCTTCAAAGGCTGGGAAGGAAACTGCTTCCCCAGGTTCTCACAGCACAAGTAGGTTATGGGTGAATCTCAAGAAGGACAGATCTAGAAATACATTACTTGAAATGAGGTTTATTCCAAACCCTCCTTCCTGTAAATCTTTTTATAAGGTACCAGACAGAGGGAGAACTGACATATCAACCTGGAGATACTCAGATTAATGTGACGGTTAATAGCACCAGTTCTGGAGTCAGACAGACTTGGGTTTAAATCCTAGCCCTGCCACTCCTCATCAGTGTGTCTTATCTGAGTGCCTAACTCAGGCAAGTTATTTAACGTCTTTATGCCTCAACTGCCTTGTAAAAATGGGTAGTACTGCCGGGTGTGGTGGCTCACACCTGTAATCCTAGCACTTTGGGAAGCCAAGGCAGGTAGATCACGAGGTCAGGAGGTTGAGACCAGCCTGGCCAACATAGTGAAACCCCATCTCTACTAAAAATACAAAAATTAGCTGGGCATGGTGGCGTGTGCCTGTAGTCCCAGCTACTCAGGGAGGCTGAGGCAGGAGAATCGCATGAACCCGGGAGGCAAAAGTTGCAGTGAGCCAAGATTGCGCCACTGCACTCCAGCTTGGGCAACAGAGTGAAATTTCATCTCCAAAAAAAAAAAAAGAGTAGTACTTCATAGAGTTGTTGGAAGATTAAAAGAGATACTGAACATAAAGCCCCTAGTGGTCTGTCAGTAGGTATGACAGACCAATGATGTTCATATTTACTTAGTCAGTGGCGGGGCCAGGGCGACTCCCAAGTTGCTCAATTCTCAAACTGTGGACTTTAGCACAGGCAATACTGGATCGAGCTGGTACATGCCCATCATCTTTGTCTCATCGCCGATAAATTTAAGTGAAAATGCTGTCCACAGTTGTTTTATTCCATATAGAAGTCAACACATTAGAAGTTCTTTGCCAAATGTTAAAAGTTCCTGAACGGGTCAACATTGCACAGCTCTAGATGGTATCACTGCTAAAGCCCCGAACATTAAATTATCTGAGTGGTCCAATGAGCTTTGCATTGTTCATGAGGAATGCAAGCTTCCCTAATTGTGCTTTTCTTTCAGTTTCTGCCATGTTGGAAAATGAGAGCATTCAGGGTCTATCTGGTGTGAAGCCCACTGGCTACCGGAAGCGCTCTTCCAGCATGGCAGATGGAGATAACTCATACTGCCTGGAAGCCATCATCCGCCAGATGAATGCCTTTCATACAGTCATGTGTGACCAGGGCTTGGACCCTGAGATCATCCTGCAGGTATTCAAACAGCTCTTCTACATGATCAATGCAGTGACTCTTAACAACCTGCTCCTACGGAAGGATGTCTGCTCTTGGAGCACAGGCATGCAACTCAGGTAAGAGAGGAGCACCCCAACAACACAGATAGAGTGGGTGCTCACTGACTCCAGCTAGAATCAGGACACAAGACTGCTGTTTCTAAAAATGAAATCCAAATCTAAGTGGCAATTCTTGTCTCCATCAGTCTGTGACTCAGGTCCATCACCTTTTTATCTGTTGGTGAAATCCATCAAACACTGAGATGGTGACTTGGTAAATAAATTAGTTCAAAGCTTAAAGATATTGACATACTCTAAGTTAAAGACTAAATACAAAGCAGATAGGTCAGAGAGAAAACTCAATGAGTTAACAGGCGTGAAGACTCACACAGAAGTATAAATACGGGGATGAATGTTTAAATACTTACAATTCAGTATATTTAATGCCTGTTTTTCACCACTAACTTATGTAGACACTTCAGGCATTTCATCTTTGCTTGATTTTATGTACCACTCATTCATTTATTCATTCTTTATTCAACAAATAGTTCCCTGAGTGCAAGGCATTTGCCATGCTTTTTAACCATGTGAGATCCATAATGACACTAGCTGCAGCTTACATGTAAAACACAACAGGTGTCCCCTTCTTGGTGAATTAGGAGGACCAGCTTAACACAGCTTGCTTTCTGCCTATGGCTAAGGTACAATATAAGTCAGCTTGAGGAGTGGCTTCGGGGAAGAAACCTTCACCAGAGTGGAGCAGTTCAGACCATGGAACCTCTGATTCAAGCAGCCCAGCTCCTCCAATTAAAGAAGAAAACCCAGGAGGATGCAGAGGCCATCTGTTCCCTGTGTACCTCCCTCAGCACCCAGCAGGTCTGATCATTCTGCATCTCTGTCAACCGTGATATTCCAAGCAAGCCCAGTGTCCATTCCAAATCCGTTCTTGTTAGTGGTTATTTGTTAGTGTGGTACTCCCACCCTTTATATACCCCTAATGATACAATTTTGAAGTGCAGCTGATGGGATATTCCTAGGTGAACCAAAGGCCATTTGTGTGTGAAACAAGATGCCATGAATACTGCTTTCTAGTCTCCCTATCCCTCTTACTCACTTTAAAAGATAAGACAGCAAACCCGCAAAACATTAAGCTTAGGTAAAAACTTTTTAAAATATAATGAATTCTGGAATATTTCTTATGTAGAAATTTATAAATTTTCAGAAATTGGCAGCATCCGGTATTTGCTTTCTTTACAACTATAATTGTAAGAAAAACCGGTTTATTTAAAACTAATTTCAATATGGTCACATTTCCACTCACACTCCATTTATATTGTTTTAAATGAAGTCATTAAGAACCTAGGGGCATTCAAATGTTACTTTCCTTATCCCTAAAAAATGTGTAACTATGAGTCAGTTGCAGATTTATCGCTAGTCCCTAAAAGATAAATAACAAAATCCAAACTCAGTACAGAAAAGTAAACACATCTTAATATACAAAGTTAACTTTTCCTTACCTCCTCCACTAGCTACTAAAAGATTAAATATTGAACTCTTAAGAAAACTGCCTCCTTTTGTACACATTTACAGAAAGTCTTCAAACATTTTTCTCCTTTTCTTTTTTTTTTTTTTTTTTTTGAGACAGAGTTTCATTCTTGTTGGGACTGGAGTGCAATGGCACAATCTCAGCTTACTGCAATCTCCGCCTCCCGGATTCAAGCGATTCTCCTGCCTCAGCCTCCTAAGTAGCTGGGATTACAGGCACCTGCCACCATACCCAGCTAATTTTTTTTTTTTTTTTTTTAGTAGAGACGGGGTTTTGCCATGTTGGCTAGGTTGGTTTTGAACTCCTGACCTCAGGTGATCCACCCACCTCGAACTCCCAAAGTGCTGGGATTACAGATGTGAGCCACCACACCCGGCCACATTTTTTTCCCTTTTATATACATTTCACTTATATAAGTTTGCTTCTAGAATGTAGCCAGCATTGCATTTGGGCAGCCTACTTCCACCAAACCATTAGTAGGCAGACAAAAGAGTATCTCCTGTTCAAATTCTCATTTGTAAACAATTTTAGGAGATGGGGTAGTTAGGTGTTAACAAGACCTTTCTCATCTAAGGTAAGATCTACAGTACTCTTCAGAAGAAACCTTTAAATTACTAGTAGATAACAGGCTGAGTATTTCAGGCAACCGCATTCTAAACGCCTCCCATTGTGTATACCAGTGACCATAGTGAGAAGGGGCAGGTGGCTTTACAAGAGACATGAGTTCCGTGAGAGGGCTCAGATCCACCTGGCAAAGCTGTGGGCTCTAGTTACCTGGATGCAGGCTCCAAGTGTGAAGGTCAGTCCAGCTCTGTCTGTGTTGTGAGCCTTGTCTAAAGAGGATCATACTCTTGTCCCAATGTCCCATATTAAAGTTCAAAAGTTGTCTCATGTTCATTTAGTGCTGTGCTAAATTCTGTTTTTACCCCAATAGATTGTCAAAATTTTAAACCTTTACACTCCCCTGAATGAATTTGAAGAACGGGTAACAGTGGCCTTTATACGAACGATCCAGGTGAGTTTTAAAATGTTAATTTTATAAAGTCCTAGTCTAAGACTGTAAAGAAGTTGAAAATTTGGATTTCAACCTTGCTTCTCTTTATTACTAAAATACTAGTTACATTATATGCTAGGAGACTTTATATTCCTAAGCTTTCTATTTAGGTAAACATGAACCATATCACCCATGAGTAACTTAGTATTTACACACAGAAAACTCAACTTTTATCATCTCTGCCTCTCAGATTATAGACACAGTCTAAGCATAATTTACCACTAGCATGTTACTGAACTATTAGCACCAAATGGAATTAACAACGTAAGCAGAATATCAGCCCTAACCATAAATGGAACTAAGAAATGTTCTTTAAATAAAACAATTTGAGCTCTTAAATCTTTGTCTAAGACATGATATTTGCTTTCAGGAAAATGCTTGAAAGAAAACATATTAGGGAAAACAGTTATTTAAATCTGTCTGTTCTTAAGACGTTGGGAATTTTTTACTTAAAGTTGAGCTTCCTCAAGCTGAGCCTAAGGTGATTTTGGCTGAGTGCCTGGCCTTTACTGTGACAGTGTTGCAGTGATAGTCACGTCTCAGTCACGTCTCAGTGATAGTCACGACTCAGAAAACAGGGCACACTTCTCCCAGGATTACCTATGGGAGCCCCTCGGGAGTAGAGCACTTTCTCAAACTTTTAAATGACCTCAGAAACAAGGACTAAAAAGGGGTGCAGGGGGAAGTGAGCAGAGGAGGGAGAGTCAGGGAAGAGGGAACCAAATGGAGGTTTATGAAAGACACCTCATGGAGCTTTGTACAAGAAGCTGCTCCCTTTGGAATACTCCTGGGATTTTATTCGGAGCTCCTTATAGTGTTTCAATGTAGATCCAGAGATTTAGGGAGCCCTGAAAACAACTGAAAAGGAGTCTGAAAGGAGCCATGGCCAAAACCTAAATGAACTTTAGCCTGGCATCTAAGCAGGGAAAAGAGACCAAAGGTCTGGGAACCGGTGGCTAGTCAGACTAAAGGTTGTTCTCCTAAGGGCAATGAGAGAAACACTGCCAGTTTTTAAAGACACAGGCCACAGAGTGAGGCAGGCAGAGACTCGCCAACATGAACATAACAGCTAGGTTGTGGGTGGCGCTGACAGAAAGGACCCAGTTAGGCTGCTGTCAGTCAGCTGCTGAATGACAAGAGGTGGATGACAGAAGCCACTGAGATACCTGACCCTGGACCCGCTATATGGATTTTTATAGAGGGTTGATAATTTACAGAAAAGTGTAGGTTTAGGAAGTCTTGTTTGGTTTTGAATATCTGAGACACATATTAGAGGGAGAACTATAACTGCTCCTAAATTGGCAACCCCACTGTTTATGAGAATTCAGGTCACAGAATATATGGCAAGTCATACTGCAGGTTTAATGGATTAAGGGCAAAGGAAGAATGTAATGGAGGTTAAGTTCAAATATTCTCTGAAAATACACACAGATGCTGAATCTTCCTCAGTCAACATTGTGGTATCTCGCAGTTCTATCAAAATATTTTTTGTGTGAGCTATAGCTTTATATTCTGTTTCTACCTATACAATGCTCAGAAGAAATGGTGAACAATCAGTCCCACCCTCCCACATGTGAACTCACGTGTGTGATAAAGACGAGTTACTTGTTAAAGCAAACCTTGCTTGGGGTGATGGATTTTTTTTATAGCTTCATACTGACCTTTAAAAATGTAAATTGGAAGTTGTTAACCTCACCAAAGCATTCACGGGAGGATTTCTGTGAAATGACCACCTTGTAAATTTTAATTGATTAAATGTATACATGCCTTTTGCTGTTGAATTGTGATAATATAGGTAACATTTCACTTTCTTTTCCCATTTTTATACTCTCTAAAATTTCTTCAAACCCTTTAGAGAGTGAAGTGTACCATCACATCTAACTAATGCGGAGAAATTCAAGGGCCTTGAAGTGCTACAAAGATGACTTTTTTCCCAGAGCCTCCTGCCATTTCACATTTTACGTACATTTCCACACACCCTGTGATAGGTTCGTGATAATAAATGTAGCAAACCTGAGTGGGCCGTGTGTGAGCTCTCAGTAATCCCAGAGAATCGTTCTGCCGGACCACAGCAGAGCCATCATCGAGAATCTTGAATTAGCCAGGCTTGTTGCTTATTCCTCCCTAACTATCTTTCTCTTTTTTAAACTTTTCTCCCATATTTCACACCTCTTTTTCAAATGGTTAAAATTACTTTAAAATTTTGGCCCAACTTTCAAGATGCCAAACACATGGGTACTAGACATTTAAGTCGTGCTTTCTATTCATAATTCAGGTAATGGATGAAGATGTGGGCAATTCCAGGTTTCCCTGCCACTATAGAGCCATGTGACAATACCATGCTGAAACTGTGACTTCCTTCTGTAAAACTATTTCCCAGCACTTCCCAAGTGCTACTGCGTGTTCACTGATGGTGGCTTGTTTCAAAGTTTAAGAAAAATGGTGTTTTCACAAAATTAGGTTATATCGGTTTTCCTTTTGGCAGTATACCCACAGTTAACCCAATTGACTTTTGTAAAAGTACAGCTCCTATCAGCAAGTCATGGTTCAGAGGTTAAGGGTTAATGCACGGGCAGGAGGAACAAAGGAGCATGTTATAAAACTGAGAACAGCAAATATAGCACTTGCTGTGTGCCAACGATGGTACACCATGTTTTTGTTTGTTTGTTTTTTGAGACAGAGTCTTGCTCTGTTGCCAGGCTGGAGTGCAATGGTGTGATCTCAGCTCACTGCCACTTCCACCTTTCTGCAACCTCTGCCTCCCAGATTCAAGCAGTTCTTCTGCCTCAGCCTCCCAAGTAGCTGGGATTACAGGTTCCCACCACTGCTCCCAGCTAGTTTTTGTATTTTTAGTAGAGACGGGGTTTCACCATCTTGGCCAGGCTGGTCTCACTCCTGACCTTATGATCCACCCGCCTAGGCCTCCCAAAGTGCTAAGATTGCAGGCATAAGCCACTGTGCCTGGCTTGTACTCCATTCTTTATACCTGTTAACTCCTTTAATCCCCACAACCTTAGAGAAGGGTACTCTTCCCCATCCCATTGTTTCGGAGTATGTGTGTTACATTTTAACTATTTTTAAGTGTATAATTCAGTGGCATTAATATATTCACAATATTATGTAATAATCACCACTATTTTCAAAATTCTTTCATCATCAGAAACACTACCATTTGGGCAAATAATATTCCCCCTTCTCTTCAACCCTGGGTAGGTTTCTATATGTAAATTATATGTAAATTCTAGATGTCACACATAAGTAGAATCATGAGATATTCTTTTGGGTCTGGCTTATTTACTTAGGTTTTCAAAGGTCGTCCATGTAGTAGCATGCATAAGAACTTCATTCCTTTTTTTAATGACCAATATTCCCTTTGTCTATCACATTCTGTCTATCCATCAGTTGATGGAAATGCACTGTTTCCACCTTTTAGCTATTGGGAATCATGCTGCTATGAACATTGTTGCACAGGTAGCTGAGATCCTCTTTTCAGTTCCAACAGGGGGCATATATTTAGAGGCAGAATTACTGGATCATATGGTCACTCTATATTTAACTTTTCGAGGAACCTCAACCTTTTCCCCAGCAGCTACACCATTTTACATTCCCACCAGCAATGCATGAGAGTTTTAGTTTCCCCACATCCTCACAAACACTTGTGATTTTCCAACTTTTAAAAATTATAGCCATCTTAATGGGAGTGAAGTGGCATCTCACCGTGGTTTGGATTTGTATCTCTCTGACGATTAGCATCTTTTCATGTGCCTATTGGCCATGTGTGTATTTTCTTTGGAGAAATATCTATTTCAGCATTTAGTTCATTTTTAAATCAGATTGTTGTTTTTTTGGCATTGAGTTGCAGGAGTTATTTATATAATCCAGACACTAAGTCCTTGTCAGATATGATTTACACACACTTTCTCCCATTCTGTGACTTTTCACTTTCTTGATAGTGTCCTTCGATGGAGAAGTTTTAAATTTTGAGGATGTCAAATTTATGTATATTTTTTGTTTCCAGTGCTCTTGATGTCATTTTTAAGAACCATAAATACTTTCCCCAATGTTTCTACAAGTTTTACAGATTTAGCTCCCTTTAAGTTTTTGATCCATTTTGAGTTAATTTTTGTATATGGTGTAAGGTGAATGTCTCACTTCATTATTCTGTTTGTGGATAGGCAGTTGTCCCAGCTCCATTTGTCAAAGACACTGCCCTTTCCCCCATTGAATGGACTTGGCACCCTTTTCAAAAATCAATTGACCAAAAATATGAGGGTTTATTTTTCTGGGCCATTATATTCTATTGGTCTATATGTCTGTTCGTATACTAGTACCATACTGTTTTGATTCCCATAGCTTTGTAAAAGTTTTCAAATGGAAAGTCTGAGTCCAATTTTTTTTTAAGACAGAGTCTCACTCCATTGCCCAAGCTGGAGTGTAGTGGCATAATCTTGGCTCGCTGCAACCTCCACCTCCCAGGTTCAAGTGATTCTCCTGCCTCAGCCTCCCAACTAGCTGGGATTATAGGCATGCACCACCACAGCTGGCTAATTCTCCCATTTTTAGTAGAGACAGGTTTTACCATGTTTGCCAGGCTGGTCTTGAATTCCTGGCCTCAGATGATATACCCACTTTGGCTTCCCAAAGTGCTAGGGTTGCAGACATGAGCCATTGCACCCAGCAAATTTTGTTATTCTTCAAGATTGCCTTAGCTAGCCAAGATCCCTTGAAGTTCGATATGAATTTTAGGATTTTTTTAGATTTCTGCAAAAAACATCCTTGGGATTTTGATAGGTATTGCATTGAATCTGAAGATTCAATTTAAACTATATCATCCCACTGCCCCCTAAAACCATTGTTTTTGATGAAAAAACAGGTGTTAATCTTATTTGAGGATACCTTATACAGTCAGCCCTTCATATCCACAGGTTCCATATCTGCAGATTCAGCCAACCACGGATCCAAAATTTAGTATTCACAAGATGCGGAACCTGTAGCTATGGAGGGACAACTTTTCATATCTGTGGGTTCTGCAGGGTTGACTGCAGTACTTGCATATCCATGGACTTGGGTATCTGTGGGGATTCCTGGAACTGTATGTGACAAGTCACTTCTTTCTCACTGCCTTCAAGACTCCCTTCTCATCTTAGGGTTTGACAATTTAGTATAATGTGTCTCACTGTGAAATCTCTTTGCCTTTAGCCTGCTTGGAGTTCTTGGAGCTTCTTGGATGATTACATACATGTCTTTCATCAGATTTGGGAAGTTTCAGGCATTGTTTCTTCAAATATTTTGTTGCCTGCTTCTTCCCCTTTTCCTTCTGGTACTTCCGTAATGTGTATATTGGTATACTTGATGGTGTCCAATAGGTCTGTTAGGCTCTGTTCATTTTTGCCTCATTATTTTTATTTTCTTCTCAGACTGGATCATTTGAATTGCTTTATCTTCAAATTCACTGATCTTTTCTTCTGCCTGCTCAAGTCTACTGTTAAACTCCTCTAGTGAATTTTTTGTTTCAGTTTTTATACTTTTCCCAAAATGTCTGGCTTCAAATAGAGAGGAAGCAGCCCCTTTAACTTTTCCAAGTGATGCCATTATTGGAAGTCACTGCATCCCAAGAAATGCCTAAACCAAGACAGGCATCTGCTGGGACCCACCAGATGAACCAAACTGCACAATCCCAAATTTTTTTAGGACAATATCCCACTGCCTGCCCTGGTACCAGCTAGCTATTCCAGGAATGTGGACTGCTATCCCTATAGCTTCAGGGGAGCTGAGGAAAGTGGGATAGTAGTTGGGTCACACACACAGTTCTTTTAGCAAACATCAGCAGCCTCTTCCTTTATCAAGCACTCTCCTGGTTGTTATAAATGTCCAATTGAGTTCCAGAGTTATGAGATAGTTGACAATCACTGCTTATAGTTGTTTATAGTTCAATGGTAGCTTCAATGGAGAGACCAACCCCTACTCTGCCATTTTATGTGCTATACTCCCATTCCATTCTACAGGTAAAGAAACAGAGGCATAGAAAGGTTCAGGAATTTGTCCAGGGTGGTGCCAGGATTAGAGCTCAGGCTATCTATCTTGAAAAACCCATGCCCTTAGCCAGTTCATTACAGTGCCTCTCTATGTGGTTTGCACCTGAGACGTATTTTATATTCTCCCTTAGATAGAAAAATGTTTAAAGAATTGGGAGAGTACTTACTCTGATCTCCAAGAAGCCTAAGTCAGGGCTTCTCTCCTCACTAAATACCTCAAGGGTAAGGAGATCACATTCTCCTGGTCCTGAAGTCCTACCTAATTGTCTTAGAAGTAATTCCATCATATATGCCAACCCACTCTCTTGAATTCACTTAAACTGGCTATTTTTAGGGGAACTCAACTTTATATGGTCTTATTCTTCCCTACAGGCACAATTACAGGAGCGGAATGACCCTCAGCAACTGCTGCTAGATGCCAAGCACATGTTTCCTGTTTTGTTCCCATTTAATCCATCTTCTCTAACCATGGACTCAATCCACATCCCAGCGTGTCTCAATCTGGAGTTCCTCAATCAAGTCTGAAGATGCATGTTTCCAGCATTAGTTTGATTCCCAATGTGAGCAAGAAGGAGGCATATACAGTAAATTCAAGGATCTGTTAAATCTGATCAAAGCAGATCAAGTCAGAGATTGATAGCCTGTGGAGGGTGCTGAACTACACAGAATTAAGACACAATTATGTCATTATTTTTTGTACCTACTGCTCAGAATAAAAACACTTGAAATATGGAAAATTTTAAGTTTGATTTTAGTCCAACAATACATAACAATTTATAGACACCAAGCAGTCCCCATAGCCATATAAAAGGTGCCAGTTCTATAAAATGAAGCTACCTAGTTTTGATCTTTGCATATAACTGGAGAATGTCCAAATTAAAATACTAAATATATGTAAGTCACATAAATTACCTTCAAAGGACTTTTAACAAAATAATGGTACTAATAACCATGATAATGACATATACTGACATTTCCCAAAGTTTGCAAACCATAGGTGTGGTTATGTTTGTGGTGACATGTTTTTAAGAATAAAAATACAGGGATGAGACTTTTGAGAAATGTCCCCAAAATATTTTTTAATGGCTGATTATACAAAGACAGTGGTGTAACTGACCTCCAGACCAGACATGTTAAGTACCGGTTTCCGAAGCAAAATTAGAAGTGCCAGTCCTTAGTGTGATCAGATGCTTTTGTGTCATCTTGGTTTAATGGAAGAGATGATTAAAATGTTGCTATCCCAAACTCCAATTGAGGAAGATGGAAAATGTTTTTTTTTTTTTCTGATGCTAGTCCATACACTTTCCAAGTCCCACAAAACTTTCACCAAAATGCCTATAAGCTAAATATTAGAAAAGGATAACTTGTTTTATTTATAGATGTAAACCCAAACAAGTCAATATGAAAGCTTTTAATCTCTTAATGCCATTAAACCTCCAGTAAAAGCAACACATGATGCTCTACTATAAAACAAATTAAAGCTTGCACATCAGATCATCTGAAAAATCTTCAAAAATAATCAGTTCAGGGATCACTATTATACAAAATTTGGGTTTTTTTTTTTAAGAGAATAAAATGGCTTAGGTCAACCTTCCCTTTTCAGGTTATTTTCAACATTTTTCAAATTTTAGGAAACAAAAATTGTCTTTCTCCTTTGAAATAAGGGTTTTTTTTTAAAGTAATGCAGTTATATAACAGGCTTAGATATTTGCTGCTCTTAGAAATCTTTTTTATTTGTTTTTTGACTCTTCAAAAGCAAATATTCAATTTGAAACACATATTCTTTCCACAAATTTTTTTACTGTCTTTTCCCTATTTCTTGATAACTGTATGCACTTCCCATAAGAACAAATGGTGTTTGCAAATCATAGAAGAACAGACTCTGTATTACATTGAAAAAATAAGATTTATCCATGAATTGGAAGTAGAACACCCTGCCTCCCCACTTTTTTACTCAGCCACCCAACTTAAAAGTCTCTTGGAAACATAACAGACTCCAAGCTACCTTCTGTACTGTGCCCTTGGAGCACAGCTTCCTCAGTCATTCTCCACATCTCCTGGGGCTTCACCCAGCCTTAGCCTGGGTTAAGGCTGCTAACAGTTGTGTTCCAATCGGTTATTACAGGCATTATCCCCTCTACATTCACATTAAACATCCCAGCTTCTCTTGGGCATCTGCAGATCTGGGCCTTTTTCTTGCAATTACAGTTACACAATCAATGACATCCGTGACACTCACCCATGGATCCACATGCTGACTTTGTTTAGAAGGCCAATCTAAAACAACTGGGTTTGTGGCTACCTCTATAAAGTTGTTTGTGAAGTATAATTTGCTTTTTGATGCACTTTAGTTTGAAACTGAGTCTCTTATATAAGAACTGCCCTTTATTTTAAAAGACCAAAACTGCCTTGTTAGAATGTTAAGGAGTTTTGACATGCAGTGGTTCCACAAATACAGTGGCTTACTGGTCTTATATTCTGTCTTACACCATCATTCTCTCCATCTCTGTTGATCACTACTCTCTGCTGTCAGTGGTTAATCACTAGGTGCCAAGAGCTTATTGAATAAAAGCTTGGCAATTAGAATAAATGGGGAGGGAAGAACCTTATGAACAGTCTATTTAGCCTAAGAAATGGAAGATTTAGTTCTTCTCTTCCAAAAGATAAAGGTATATATCACTGGAATGGTACTTAAAATTTATAGATGACTAACAAATATATACTTTATATGTATTTAATATTTAGATCTGCCTTATTTAACTTGGAGGCTAGAAGAAGCATCTTTAGAGGAACTCTATAATCTTTTGTTAGCATTTTCTCTGCATTTTTGAAAGTCATTTCAATGCAAACACTTATCAGTGTCATGAAATCAGTAATGACTTCTTAACAATTCAACATAAGGGTTTGAAATCTGCATTAGATGTGTCTTTAATTTTTTAGTATTTAAAATTTAGTTGACACTTTTCTCACCAGGTGCCTTTAGCAGTTACTAAGATAACTGACTTGTCAATTGTTTCTCTGAAATAAGTGTTGCTTTGGGAACAATTTTAATGTTCAATGTGATATCATGGTGGAGTTTTGTCTTTTAAAACAGAAGCATTTTAAATATTAAGAATCAAATATTTGTAGATCAAAAAACTTGTGTTTTAAGTATTCTAAGGGATCTGTTTACTTACAGTAAATGTGTATGTACACATGAGTCATTGCTGAAGCCGACAAGCATATTCCATACATGCATTTTCCCTGTGCCATCGTCATTGCAGTTAGAGTGCCGGTACCTGTAGGCTTGCCTGGGAGGCAGATTAAACCCAAAGCTAGAATTTTTCCCTTTTCCATGAAGCATGTCAGTGGGAGTTGCTTCCTTTGATTTCCCTAGTACTAAATTTTGAGACTTTTAAAAAAAAGCAAAAAACTAGGAACTTGGAACATTCTAAAAAAATTAATGCTGCTACCATCAATTCATCAAATACTTAGAGCCTTCATACATTACCAATAAATGAGAATTAATTTCTTCTGCAAAAGTAAGTTTTCATACCCTTAACCTACTAAGACAGCAAGGATGTCCTGAATTGAGGCATTTGTATAATGCCTACATAACTAAATGGTCACTAAAAGGTGACAGCATGGGGAGAGACCTTATGGTTCTTCACAGAATATTTGTGGCAAGTTTCTCCAGTTAATTTGCTGCATGAGCCCAATAACCATAATTCACTTTTTGTACCCACTGGTGCCATAATTAGATAATTAGAGGGTGTAGACAGAGGTTAATGCCAATGACAAACACAGGACATTTTTTAGTATTATAAAGGTCATTAGGTACAAAAGATTGTTGTCCAAAAAAAAAGTTTCCAATTCTAACAAAGGAGATCAATCAGAAATGAAACTAAGCTTTCCAAAGTGACGTTGTTTCAGAATAATCCAGATTTGAATATAACATTTTGCCACCAACTGACATTTAGATGAAGGACTTCCTCTCCAAAAGTGTTCAGATCATATTCAGGGGTGAATCTGACACCATGGAAGAAATACTACTGATGAAAATATTTTTCCACTTTGAACAAATCTGTAAACTATACCTTTGCTTATAGAAAAAATGCTTGTAATAGTCACTGTAATATTTAGCTGTGGATAAAAATTTATGGAAATAAATACTTTTGAATAAAGTGTTGTGCCAAATCTAAATGAAATTTAAAACTCTGCAGCTACAGGTTAACAAAGTTTCTTTGTAATGCTCTCTTGAGAAGCTTCATAATGGGGTCTATATTCTAATATGTGTCATGATCATTTAAACCAGAGGTCAGCATCTTACAGTCCAAAGTTGGTGGAAGGGAGAAACTCCAAGATAACAAGGCCTATTGAGCAATTAATTACTTTACAACTATGAGATTAAAGGCAGTTTTGGTGTAGGCAAAGACAAACAGATCAATGAAACAGAACAGAGAGTGCAGAGATAGGCCCAACGCTATGTATAACATAGCATACGGTTTTATGCATGGAAAATCAATGAGAAAATAGTCACAAATCTGTATGGAGGAATTTGTAAAATATAAGTGAAAAACAATGACAACATTAAAATGGAGAAATAAATTAGGAACATGAATCCAAAGACTCCATACCACTAGAAGTTTGTCATTTGTCCCCAAGTTGATCTATAGATTAAAAATCAACGGCAGCTGTTTCTCTGTGAAAATTGACAAGCTCATTATAAGATTTATATGGAAGAGCAAAGGCCCATGGATAAGGAAGACCCTCCTTGAGAAAGTGGGAAGCTTTCCTTAGTAGGCATCGAGACTTACAAAATTTCAGTAATTAAGATGTGTGAGAATGACAGAGATGGAAAAATTGACCAGTGGAACAGAATAGAGGGCCCAGAAACTGAACATCTACATGGAAATTTTTTTATAAATTTTTTTTATAAACTGAACATCTATATGGATACATTTTTTTCTTAACTAGGAGCACACATCAAAATTACCTGGAAATCTTTTTTAAAATTTACACCCAAATTTAGGGAACAAGACATCTCCAGAGATGGTGCCCTTCAACACCCATTGTTAACCTGACCCACCTAAAAATATACAAGATGACACATCTCCAGGGATGGTGCCCTTAAACACCCACCATTGGAGACCACTATTGAAATATTTCATCATAGAGAAAAATGGTCACAGCATTATTGGTCCTTCACATCGATAGGTTCTAGGAAACCATGAGTAGAAACAAAATGACATATAATGACACCAATTTTAACATAAGCTAGTTAATGTAAACAGTTCAGTCCCTACAACATATTTATGGTCATATGAACATCAAACTTTATTATTTTTGAGACAGTCTTGCTCTGTTGCCCAGGATGGAGTGCAGTGGTGAGATCTCGGCTCACTGCAACCTCTGCCTCAGCCTCCATAATAGCTGGGATTACAGGTGTCTGGCCATCATGCCTGCCTCATTTTTTTTGTATTTTAATAGAGATGGGGTTTCACTCTGCTGGCCAGGCTGGTCTCAAACTCCTGCTCTCCAGTGATCCACCCGCCTCGGTCTCCCAAAATACTGGGATTACAGGTGTGAGCCATTGCGCCCAGCCAAAACATCACCAAACTTCTAAATAAAGACCAAAACACTTCCAGTATTAAACACTGAAATGAAAACTATACATACATTTTAGAAAGATTAATAAAAACAAATAAAGTTACTTGTCCACTTATTCCAACTCAGAGTCACTGAAGGCCCATCTCTC